TCCACCTTCGATAGTTGCTAGTTAGACAATCAATCAATTCAGTTGGTTCTACATAGACGAGGGCCAGCTGAGTTACCTAGCTAGTGGGTTATTTGTGGCTTTCTAGCCCCAATGCAGGGTCCTGGTCTAAGTTCGGAGGGATATTGCCAGCAAAAACTATTCCCGCGAACGGCCTGGAATCCTCCTTCCAATGCATTCAAGGGCGGTCAGCATTCCGATCACACATTGTCTCTAGTCTCCGAACTCGGCCACGACAGGAACATAGTAGAAAATCGAGAAAAGAATGGCAGGGCGTCGGAAGCAGGTCGAGATCACTGAGAGTAATCTTTGGTTGTATATGCATCGAAGGAAACATAAATCCCAAAGCAAAGAATGTCCTTGGCTCTTTGAACCCGAGCAGACCACTAATGGACATGATCAGGCCGGAGTCTGCTGAGCCTACTGTGGGGGAGATAAATACGGGACCGAGGGCTCTCCAGACGCTTTTCGATCTAGACCCCCTTGATGCGGAGGTGGGCTGATCAACACCACAACCGAGATATACCGAAAATTGCCGTGACGGGTGGCCAAGTTGTGTCTCGGCTAGGAAATGACTTGAATTCGATGCAGGCCGAGAAACCCCTACACGTTCAGAGACCATCCACTCGGTTTTTACTGCACAAAATGGGCGATCTCTTGGTGGTCCAATCCTTTAAGTCCTATGTCATGTATGCCCAAAACAAAATGTGGACGATCACATTTCTGGTTCAGAGCACAGGTAAGGTGGTCGCCCTCGATATCTGAACCCATCTACCCCGGACGTGGTGACCCCGGATCCCTTGGACACTCTTGCCCTAGCCCGCTCGTTCCTCTTCTCCCCAGTTCAAAACCATTCCCAGCACGACTTCTGCTTTTCATCACCACTCGCTCCGCGTATGACACGGCCGCCCGTTTGCTCCGCCTATGGCAAGCCGTATTGATGGAAACACAACTGGCAATATCAGCGACTAGCTGTGTCCGCGATACCGATCCCCCAGCAAGACTACTTGGGCTGAATATGACGCGCCATAGATTGAAACGCGCCGGCGCAGCCTGCCTGCTCTGTCGAGGACGAAAAGTTCGGTGTGATGCCACGCAGAATGATGTCCCGTGCACCAACTGTAAGCTGGACGGCACAAACTGTGTCGTAAGGTCTAGGGTAAAGAAGCTGTGTGTGACCTAACGTCCCCAGGATACATGAATGTCAACAATCGGGTTGATTGACTTGTGATGTGTAATACAGTGATGCCCACCAGCACAAAATCGACCTTGCTTCTTGCGACGTACACCCTGCACGCACTCGACCACCGAAGGCCTTCGGACTAGAACAGTCGACGACTTTGGGGCTGAGTTCCGACAATCCAGATTGGAAGCTACCAGATACACCGCAAACAACATTACAATCAGGAGGCGAATTGACCGCATCTCTTCTTGACCCCATGGCGTCGTTCCACAGTATACAGAACAACTACCCCCTTCTTGGTCGACGAGGGGACCTAACCCTTTGCGCCGCGGATGTCATGTATTCATATTATCCATTTCTCTCAGGAGACGCTGTTGCCCTAACCCTATTGGGAAGGTTAGCCGATTCGACCTGCATTAGGCAGGTTAGGCGAGTGACACTGCGGCACTTATTGCCACCTAGTCTCTCCACCTTCAATAGTTGCTAGTTAGACAATCAATCAATTCAGTTGGTTCTACACAGACCACCGCTTCCCTTGCCCCACCGCTTTCCTGGGCCTCAATTGCGAACGGGACCAGCGCGACTCAAGCCTCAACAAGAAACCCCGCTCCGACAATGTACCCACAATTGACGAAAGAACCCCAGTGCTGCTACAGTTCATCAATGACGACCGCTGTGTGTGTGGAGCGATCGAAACGGTAGTCCACGTGCTGGCGGACTGCCCGAGGCTCTGGCAAGCAAGACAAGAATTACGAGCCCAGGTAGGTGGTGCCCTTAGGTGCATCGCAACCATACTCGGAGGAACTCCTCGGAACGAGTAAGGTAAGGCAGACAATAGTGGAAACAAACGGAAAATCATCAATACAGTATTAGATTTCGCGGAAGTATACGGAAGGTTCAAATCACGAGCGCCGCCAGTGAGACTAAAGGATAATAATAGGCCCTAACGAGGCTGAAAGATCGCGCATGTATTATGGTGCCATACTAAATAGGGGTTGAAGAGTAATCTATAGCAGTAGTAGCCCGGCATATCACTCCCACGCAGAGAGAGAGGACAGGGTCAATGATATCAACTCAACTCAACTCGACTGTACGATGCTTACTCACAATACTGTAGTAGACTCTCCGAAGACTGATGTGGTAGGTTATTAGTCGGCAAGGTGTTGAAGGGATGGAATTGATGGACAGCTGGGGATAGACTGAGACGTGAAGACGATGTCGGAGGCTGTACCAGATGGGAAGCATCACCTGCACCACTGGTGACCGAACTATTTGGCGTATATCTGCTTGACCTCTTGCTCAAAGATGGGTCAGAATAACTGGATTGGACTCGTGTTTCCTGCTCAGGAACCCGCTTGGAATGCTCCTGTCCGGTTGGTCTTTTGTGGTCTCGCGCTGGCTCCGCCTGGCGGACACGTTGCATTACATGAGAGCGGATTGCAGAACGTTGGTCTCCTTTGCTAATCCGTCTTTGGCTTATAGAGACTAGATCCTCGGCCTGATTCACAAATGTGAACTTTACAGAAGGAGACTGCACTTGATTCTTGTTCCAGGACCCCTTAGCTGCGTCTAGCAATCGATGATCTGCCGGTTAGTTATGTAAGTGTCGAGAATTAGAGTCGCAATGTAGGTAGATTCGCACCTGCGCTACCTGAGCACATAGGCATTTTCCCAGATCACTCGAGCGGCAGGTGTCTGGCAGATAGCCCTCCTTGCATAGGTAATGGACGCGCCTCAGGATATTGTCTCAATCTGGTATGTGCGGCCAGGGCAACCCAGCCGCTGTCTCAAAGTGTCTCGGTCAGTGTTGTGATTCAGAGGTCATAAGTCTATGGATGCGTATTCAAAGGAAAAAGCAGGCAACTTACGGGAGCAGGGTATATACTGAGCTATGAAGTCTCAGTTCTCGGATTTAGCCTACGACTTAGGATGGAGTCCCCGAAAACATAGAAGAACTAACCTGAGCACGCCGCTTCCTGTTACACTCTAGGCTTGTCAAGGGCTAGCGAAGCTGGTGGAACCTCTTCTAGTACTGATGAGGAAACGGTGACCGTTTTTCAGATTCCCGAGCCAATGGCCGTATCACACGATCGGACTTAGCACAGACATTATTCGGGTCAAGATTCTGCCCCTGCCATGTGGCGGCACGGAGGATGTAGGGCACCACTCTGTTACAGTCGTCGACAGCGCTCTGCCTCTGGCGATGATTCAGAAAACGGGCTGGAGAAGTTTAATGTGCACTTGGACCTTGCGTCTTGCCAAGACTTGGGCGTAGGTAGCTGACTGCCGGACACGTACATTCTCTCTCGCTTCTTGCGCCTGAAGATTAACTTGGTAACCTGTAACAGAAGGTATTCGCTCACTGTGCTATCACATTTTGTTGAAATTTTCTTGGCTGCTCATGAACCCCCAAAATACTGGACTAAAGAGTTTTCAAGAAGCTGGATCTGACGTCAAGAGGAGGTGCACTGGATCTTTCTTAACGTTCCTGCTCTGGTTCTAAGGCCCGATTAAGACCATCTCCGAAGAGTTGAGAACTGCCCGGGTCGAAGGAGGAGTGGTAACGATCGAGGAAGGAGAAGCTTTAGCAAACTTTGAGTACGGACATCGGCGGAAGATTGTGTGAGAGATGTCGTAGTTTGAGATGAGTAGGGAGGCTGTATGAACAACGAGTCTGCGTCCGTCTGGACAGTACTCGCCTTTAGACATAATGTTACAGACAACTGTACCCAGGCAAAGGATCAATTGCCCGCTCCCCATCCTACGACTTCTACCTCTCAATCTTCTTGCCTACTGCTCTCAGCATATTCTCGCCATCGACTAACACACACCAGCCCTCGGGGCCTAACGCCCCCTTCTTAAACTCTCCCACGGCTAACTCGAAGTTTTCCTTAGTGTACTTTAGGTCCTAGTCCTCGAAACTACCCGACTATAACTAAACGACCTTCACTCCGGCTAACTTTACCTCCTCTAGAACCTTCCTCGTGACTATAGACGGGGTGAGAAACAATAATATAGTCTAGGACGGGTGAGATATCGTCGAGACCGTCGGTATAGTGTTGTATAATTTCGAGGGTAGCTATATCGAGGGTTGACTGGGGTTGATCGGTGTCACCGGTAACGCGTGTATATAGTACTAGGTTAGTATCCCGTATCCGAACTTGCTCTTGTCTTGACTCGCCCCGACGACGGCAAAGTGCTATAGGTGAAGAATCTCTTGGCGGCGGCTTCCATCATGGTGAGGCTGATTCAGAAAAGCACGTCATGGGCGGTCCTCGGCAAAGAGACGCCCGGATGTCTGACGGCGGGAATAGCACTCTAACAGCCCTGCTCCTCCGCACATCTTCACCGAGTCTGACCCATTTCTCTCGCCGAGATAATAATTAATCAATCATATGGGACATCCCCTCTGTTCGAATTAAACCAACACACTTTGTGAACTTCTGCGTCGAAGCTCTCAACGGCTCCTCGGATTCACTGAGTGACACGCTGCGATTCTCCGGGTGCTCTTTCCGATAATAATTCCCGACATAATATCGCCTAGTGCTCACCAGTGACTTGCACTGCTCAAAAAGCGGCGCCACTACTATGGATTCGCTTCGTATGCTTTCAGACAATGGAATTGACACAATCAGTGCTCTCTACCTGGAGATCCGGATGGTGAACGGTAGGGTCAATCAAAGTCTGGAATTTTTCCACAGCCTTACACGCAATAACTGACTAGAGGGGGAAATCTTTAGGCCTGTGGATCAAGAAGCGATTTGAGCTTTCCCGTCAGTGTGTTGAAGGCTGTTCGATGATGCCCAACCAAGACGACAACACCACCACCTGGGCTTTGGAGATGATGCACCGCTGCGAGCCACGGCTCCTGGTGCTGCGAGAACTGAGGAGCATGGTCCCCGCGTTAGTCCAATGTACCAACAACAGCTGGTTTCGCACCATCAACAGGAACGCAAATTCCTCATACTTGTGTCTCTTCGACGGCGCGCAGTTGGAGCTCAATTTCTCGTCCATGACCACGCCAGAGTTCGGCTTCTGCTTCCCGAGAAGATCCTTTGTTGCCGAGCGTGAACGCCTCGACGTCAATGCCATGCTCCAGCAGCAGCCTGCCACCACCACCACCGATTGGGCCGGCTGGAAGCGGCGTGAACCCTCAGACTCGGATCGCTTGCGGGTCAACAAGAACGGCTGGGAAATCTTGTACTTTGTGCAACCCCCCAAGGGCGAGGTTGACATTACAGTCAGCGAACTCCGCGCAGAACTATGCCACACGCTTCAGATCGAGACGGGGCGGGTTCTGTTCGGCGCGGGTCCTTTCCAATGGGGCCCGGACTTTGAAGAGGATGGGTTAGGCTTGTATACTACGTACTTTGACACCGCCATCGATACGGGGGCGCGACAGATGAAGACAGTAAGGGGGGCAGCCCTGATCGACGTGATTGAGATTTCGATGCAAGCTCATTCAACCTGAAGAGCGTACGACCTTATTTCAGCCAACGCTATGCGATACCATATGAGGGCCTGGGTTGCGCGGCAAACAGCCGACCCTTCGTCTGACTTGACGTGCTATACCTACAAATTCGCTTCGCGTCTTCACCCCGGGTATTACGGTTTAGCATCCGCCACCTCGATCGTGTTCCCATATCAACGACCAGCCTTCCAGGGGATTCATATCCTGCCAGTCATTGAAAATATTGAAGTTAACGCCCGGATCCTGATCGCCGTTGAGGCAGGTGTCGAGGAAGTCCAACCCCATTCGGAGATCGGAGTCGTCGATTTCAGATATCGGGCTGTGCATTCTGGATGCAATGCGCGACTGCAGGCGTGACAGCCCCAGCTCCCTTCTCCGCCTGTCGGCAGAGAGCTTCAACGCTTTGAAGTCGTCGTCGGCGAGCTTTTTGAACATGGAGTGTGCCCAGGATGCCATCTTCCAATAGTTCTTCATGTCCTCGACCGCTTGAAGACCCTTGGAGTACTTCTGTTTCGCAGATTGAGGCTCCAAGGTGTTCGGGGAAGTGGTCACAATTTCTTCTGCAATGCTGAGCAATGCGTGGAAACAGGACGTGTTTCTGTTCATTCAAAACCCTCTTAGCCTCCACTTATGGCCATCACCTCTCAACAATACTTACACATGTGACGGTGCATAACGCAGGAGGCCCTGCGCTAAAAGATTGTCGAGCATCTCAATGATGTTCCCGGCCGATTGTAGGATATTAGCTCGAATCTGCCTCAGACTATTACCTAGTTCGGGGCGTTCCCTGTTGAGCTCTGCATCAGACGAGATACACTCGCGGTCGCCATCGGCCAGGCGGTCAATATCGGCCTTTTGCAGGGCCACAAGTGCTCGTTCGTAGCGTCGGTAATATAGTATTACTACTCTCTCGTGATAAAGGAACAGAAATATGGGGAAAATGTTGCCTCTGTTCCAGGTTGTGGGATCGTCGACCGAAAAGTTATCTTCCATCATTCCAGGGGTGCAGAAATTTTCCCTGGACACAATGTCCTTCATACTCTCGAGAGTCACAATGGAGTGAGAAGGATCTGCGGCATCTCGGAGAGATAGAAGCATCTTCTCAACTGTACGCGGACTTTCAGCGAAAACACCAATGGCGCCTGATGACTGGTGCTTACCTCTCATGGTGAGCTCCGTCAGTTTTAGGCACACATGGCCGTGACTTGGGTGTGGCCTGGGGAATTCAGTTGTGCTGAGGAGCCCAGAAACAACGGCGATTTGATGGTCTTCATTATCCCTAAAGTCCGCCGCGGAGAGAGGTTCCAGATCACAATCCTTGAGATTGAGAAGGAACGGCAGGCCAAGGGCAACAGCAATGGTATGTTCTCGGCACTAGAGGAGAGATCCGTCAGAAAATCGAGTCCAAAAAGCGCATCTTTTTCTCCAAGCTCACTTACAAAGAGCGTCCAAAAAGTTCTCCGCCAGACAAGTTCTTGTGCTGGAGCCAGGTCTATCGTTTTAACCCCAAGTTTGTTCATTCCCATTGACAACGCAAGATTCACAGCACAGCCGACCCAGAAACGCATGTCTTTCTCTTCGGTATATTCCATCCACCAAAAGGTCATCAAAATCAGAGCCTGCACAACAAACATGTGATCCTGCTCGCAGTCGTGAAAGTATAAGATTTTGGCACGGCGGAAAAAGTAGACTTTTGCCTCCAGAACCGAGTTGAACCCGGCTTCGAGCAGAAGTGGTGGATCGGCAAAGTGACAAGCGGTGAAGAGGATTGCATGGAATAACAGTGGAGAGCTTGGCCTGTTCATGTACATGGCCTCATAAAGCTGCAGCACGGTTTGTCTGTCGAAGATTGGCATCAAAGGATAACACGACTCGATGAAGATGACGAGGAGTCTCTCGGTGACTGAGCGTTGCGGAAAGCTGAACACTTTCTTGATGCTGTACAGATAGAATTGATCCTCTTTCGGCAGGTGGGCAAGTAGATTGCAATGGGCGTCGCAAGAAGCATGTAGCCACGGGGCCTTACCCTGAGGGCGGTGAGCTCTTGGGGCGTTGAAGCGATGGAAATAGGTGCGATCAATCCCGGAATATCTCTGTTCGACAGCATCCACCGACACCTCAGTGTGGCCTTCCAAATGGGGGAGCATGGAGTGAGCCATGGGCTCGCCTCGGAACTTGACGAATTTGTACACCGGTTTGTCGATTCGTCCCATTGATGAGCAATCCAGGGAAGATCCCTTCTCTGACCAAATATTTGCTGTGTTGTCCGAGTTCTCTATCATCCGCGCCCACACGTCTTCATCCCCCGTCGCCGCGGGTTGCTTTGCATTTTGCGCCGACAAGGACCCGGCCTCTCCACCGGGACCTGAGTCCGGCAGTCGGCTGGAAGAAGTTTCTTGCATGGTTTGCTGTCCAAGGGTATTCATTTCTGATCCGTTGATTTCCGTGAATGCCTCTACGGAAGGCCGCACATTCATCTGGGAGGCGGCCTCAACATCGCTGTGAATTGGCGGCAGAGGCGTTTCGATGCGTGGCGAGGTCGTGGGAAGACTCACTGCTGTGCAAGCACGGTCTCCAGCCGTACAGCTTGAACAAGGATGTCGTGCTGGTAGATCGCATCGAATCTTGCGGGTGCGACACTCAGAACATGCCTGACAAGTTCGCCGACGCTTCGAGCGGGGCCCGGCAGTTTTGGGAGCTGGGTGATCCATGTCGAGGCAGGATGCGAGTTCATCTGTCTACCAAAAAGGTATTGTTGAGATTGAGTCTGATTCCAACTGATTTCTTGAGGTCGTTAATTGTACCCAAATGGTCACAGGTCTGGGCTGTGCAAAGTGGGCAGGCGTGGCAGGGCAGGTTCGGCTGTTCGGGTAAGTGGCAAGCAGTAATTAATACCAGGTAATTACCCCGCAGTCTAGGTACCTACTAGGTAGGTATTGGCCTAATTGAGTCCCGGAGCTGCCATGCCCTTCTCGGTCGCCACCCGCCCACGGGGCCGCCCTCACCTGGGTCTTTCACCCAGCTAACGCTCTGGGGGTTGGCGCCCCCGGCTTTGCTTCTTTCCCCACACGTAGGCTTTGCTGCTCGCGAACTGGGGAGTACATGAAGTACCTCCTGTCGCAAGATCACCCACTCTGTTTCCGTTGGGGACCGTCTTATACTGGGGGCCATTGCTGCCGACGACCATGTCCGCCACGAAGATTTGCCTGATCACCAGTCTCCCTCGAGGTTGCTGATGTCACCAACAAGCAAAGCCAGTGCCTTGCGAACGGCAAAGCGTCACGTATGCAGTGTTTGCTTGAGGTGCTTCAAGCGGGCTGAGCATCTGACCCGCCATCTTCGGCGTCGTAGGTCGCACCCATGTTCTCTGCAGCTCGCCTACTGACACCTCACGTTGTGACCATAGACACGAATATAAAGCCTTTTCAATGCAGGCTGTGTTCGCTTTGCTTCTCGCGGAAGGAGCTTCATGATCGGCATCAGCGAAGGGTTCATCCAGCCGAAAATGGCAGCATCCAGGCGCCGCTCATTGTCGCCTCTTTGGGGGCACCCTCACCCGGAAACCTCCCCTCAAACGCCCAAGGACTGTTGGGGACAGGAGGCGCTCAGAATGAAAACAGTCTGCGAGTGACACCAAGCTCTCCCGAACGACGACAGCCCTTGAGTCAGCCATCGCCTTCGGCAGGAAGAGGGTCTAACCTCTTGACCCAATCCGCTTCTCTTCCAGCATCTCAGTTGCCACAGTCGTCCCTTCGGGACAGAAATGTCGATCGCGATGCCAACGGTCCCCGAGCAGGCCAGATGGCCTCCAATCTGCACTCCTGGAGCGAGCGAGGATACGAGAACAGAGTTGTATCAGCGGCGGGCACCGTGTGCGGCGAAGATTCCTCAGACGCCTTCGTCAACACGGTTGAGACTGACCTGCTTGCGGCGACCCAGACTATCTCCTCAGCCCCGGAGGCCGGCAGGAATCAAAGTCCGTACGCCCAGACGAGCAACGATTCATTCCCTTTGCCCGTGGACACCACCGCGTTGAATTCGTCTGTTGCGTCCGGTTCAACTGCGCCATGCGCTGTCTACGACTCAACCCAATCTGGTCAGGAAGCCTTCCCTGGTCAGCGGCCGGCTTGGATCGCCAGCCTTCTCACTCAGCAATCTGATACGGGTTCGCCTTCTGACTGTCTGAGCGTGGCATGTCGAATGAGATCAATTATTCTGAGCAGCATAAAATCAGTATGGCTTGAACTGACCTTCTACTGACAGGTCGACTTACTAATTTGACTCATTACAGGCTCAGGCAACCGACTTATCAGTGACCCAACAAAGCCTTTACCTTCCCGACCACGCCGTTCTGGCTGCATATTATGCAAAATTCTTCACCGTGTTTGACGGAGCGATGCCTTTTTTGCATCGAGAACTACTTCAGCAAAGCATTCCAGGTATGCCTCCAAGTGTCCCCGATGACTGACAACTGACCCGCCAGCTCTGCATCTCGCCGTCCTCGGGGCCGGCGCAATTTACTCCGAAGATCGATGGTTCGGTGATATCATGCTAAAAGCCTCTAGAAAGATAGCATTGCACGAAGTACGTTTCTCACTAAATTCTCTCGGTTTTACGTGGTATGTTGCTGAAATGTGGTAGCTGAAGGTCAAAGATTCGGAAACCGTCACACTCGGACTACTTAACGCTTTACTCATCAACATTGTCTCTGGCCGTCCGATCTCTGGCGATCAAACGCCTAGTGCCTTTGTAGGAAGCTTACACAGTCTTCTGTGGTTAGCCGCACGTGTTGAAAATCGGGTTACAAGCTTCAGCTTTCGTGCTCCAGGTATAAATCAAAGATGGCAAGATTTTATCTACTCTGAAGCAACCACGAGGTATCTGTCTTCGAGCGCTTGTTTTCACCGTCTCTGACGTCTGAGTCTAGGACAATGCTATCGGTTCTTGTAACGGTAGTGATGTGGTCGTCGGTGTTGGGGTTGCCTCGAGACATGACGACCGATTTCTTCGATCGTGTAAGATTACCGTCTCCTGACGCACTCTGGAGAGCAAATTCGGCCGAGGAGTGGGATAATTTACCAGGGGACCGGAGTCAGCCGTCTCTTTTGCAAGCAAAACTCGATGCCACATTTGCCGGCAAGTCTCACAGGTGTGGGTCGTTTCCCGCTCTCTGCCTCATCGCCGGCGTCTCACTCAGTGCCAGCGATATGAGAAGGAGCTGTTCAATGTCTCCCGAAGACCTCACAGACTTGCTCGGATGCGCTACTCACGCATGGGCTGCCGGCTACATGCCGGACAGGGCAGAAGCATCGCAGGCAGGTATACTGTCTCTAACGATTTGCGACTATCTCCGACTATCTCCGACCGTCGATATTCCCGCCATCATGTCATGTTTTGTTGGTTGTGACTTTGGGGCCATGCGGCAGAAATGCTGCCAAGCTAACCTTCGCACTGCTGGACACGAGGCCCTGCGGGCGCTCCGTCGCTGGATTTCCATTCTAACCAGGCAATTCCGTATGATTATGTTGCCGTCCGGTAAGTGCTGCTTTTTTGTTTGAGGGAGTCTAGTCTTTAACACGTACCCTCTAGCCGTACTGGTGACAGAGCACGCCGTGTCCCTCGTCGACTCTGGTGGAATATATGACGACAATGCAACGCAGGTCATGAAGGTTCTCGCTGAACTTGGTCTTCCGAGCTCCACGAGACCACGGCCTTTCCAAGTATGGAGCGCGTTGCGCGATTTCATTGGCAACGATTCAAGTAAGGCTGTGATGATCTGCGTTGAACCCATTCGCAGCAGTTTCTAATGCAAATAACAGCTATAGACGTCTTGCGTTCATGCATGGATGCCTACGCCACTTATCTGGAGGGTTCTGCCTGAGAAACAGCTCCATCAGCGTGGCATTTCTTCCCACTGATCGCGAGTTGCAAAGAGCCCAGGAATAATAAATTCCCTAGAGGGAATTCACACAGCATAGCACACCTGGTTTCACACCATGTTTCGAAATTGGAAGATTGTGTTTATTGGACAAACCAGTAGTAGCCTCTGGATTTAGATAGCTTTTCAAACAGATGGAGGCACTGAAGCATCATATCTGAATTATCTGAGCAGGGCATCTCCATCGTGTGAGAACACTATCTGTGTGCTGGGCCTTCAGACGTCCCCAATCGGCTTTGCAATAAGCCTCGTAGCAGCGGACTATTGCAAGGACACGGAACTTGTAGCCGTCATCGTAGCCATACAACGTCCTTTCTGACTACCTAGGCGCACTACCGAAGCTGAAGGACACGATTGCTTACGTTGCCTCGGGGTCGCTCAGCCTTGTGACAAAGTGATGCCTTAACTCCGTTACCCCACACGGGCATGACGCTTGTTCGGAGTTACGGTGCTCAGTACTGTATTCGGCTCTTGGCCAAAGACCCACGGTTGAACCCGTCAACAACGTCCGAGCCAATAGTATCGAAGTGGCCTTGGGGTAGGTACCTAGGTACTATGGTCACACTCGCCTGTTTCTCCGTGGCCCGAGCCTTGGTGGGTCGCGCTGGTTGTGGCATGCTCAGGGCTCGGCTGCATGGCTTGACCGGAATTCCTAAGATTGGTGTGCAACATTGATCTTGAGGGCGGAGAGCTTTTACACTTTTGTTAGGGATGCACGTTTAGAATGCCTGTGCAAGATCTCTAGTGATGGTGCTGAACGATCTTGATCCGTCGTAACGACACGCCGATCAAGCTCTTCCAAAAAAAATTTTTCCCTTCTAATTGGGATAACCAACCCAGAGCTCGCCGAAGCCTTGGTGACACTTGACTGCTCTCCATCTATCAGAATGCCTCCGCCGAGACCCATGCTGGAGCTGGACGGAGTTGCACTTGCAGATACAAGTAGAGATTCGGCATTGATTGTCTTTACACCTTGTCGAGTTATGCGCGGAAAGCTCTCTGGCATTGGGTTCCTCTTGGTCATCTATCTACAGCTTACCCGATGCGCGAGCTCTAGTCTTTTCCAGGGCCATCGCCTGTCGTATCACCAAGTCGGTCAAGATCTCATCACTGCCGCCCCCGACGACCATGACTCTGACGTCCCTGGAAATCTGCTCCACTCGACCTCCTACACCACCCCTCGAATATCCCAATCCTCCGAGGATCTGCTGCGCTTCGCGAACGCAAAGTTCGAGTGCCCGGGCACTGTGGACCTTGATTCGCGCAAAGTCACCCCCCATGGTCGTGTCCAGAGCACCAGGAACAACACTGGCGTGGTACAGCAGAGTTTCCAACTGCGCCTGAATTGACTCGATCAGCATCGACATGTTCCCCAACTTGAAGCGAATTATTTGGTTCGATAAAAGAGGCTTGCCAAAGGTTTCACGACGTCGGGCGTAAGAGTATGCGTCCTCAAAGCAGAGACGCGACAACCTCAAGGATTGCACTGCAATCACAAAGCGCTCGTGATTGAAGTCTTTCAGGAAAGTCAGCGTAACCAAATTTTGCCCAAAACAAGGAAGACTAACTGGAAAGGACCATGCGAAATCCTTTTCCCAAACCCTCGGAGCCTCCGAGGAGATTTTCTCTCGGCACCTTAACGTCGTCCAACTCGACGAATGTGCTACCGCTGGCTGAAACCCCAGAGTTATGAAGGCGTCGACAGGTCACTCCCTCTGCTGCGAGAGAGATTATCAGGGCCGAAAGATCTCCAGTTCCTCTGGCTGCTTCACACCCGGTTCGAACAGCAGCGACCATGTAGTCACACCACAGGCCGTTGGTAATCCATTTCTTGAAGCCGTTGACGATGAAAAATTGGCCATCATCACTCAAAGTGGCGGTGGTCTTGATGCCCGACACGTCACTACCCGCTGCGGTGAAAAAAGGTTACAATATTGCTCCTCAACAGACCACCGTCCGACATCGCGAGAGGGACAGACTTACCGTCAGGTTCCGTAATGCCCAAGCACGCTCTCAAGTGACCGCGCAAGAATTTCGGGAGCAATCGGTCTTTTTGTTCCTTTGTGCCAAAATTGATGATCGGCGGAACCCCGATGGTGTTCCCGCCGTTCAGGGCCCATAGAGCTCCCATATAGCCCACTCTGGATAGCTCGTCGTGCATGATGAAGTCGTGAAATAGGTCCCATTTGTGGGCAGGAATACCCATAGGCAATGTCTGCGCTTCGTATTGTCCGAATGCACCAAGATACTCAGCCGCCACAGGGTAGATCGAAGCTGCAACAAAGCCCAGTCGGGCATGACGTTCGAAAACCTCCTTTGGCACACCCCCCGCTGCTTCCCACTCTTCAGCATATGGGATCAGGTTTTCTTCCACATACTGCCGGATATATTGTCGTAATTGCCGGTGGCTTTCGTTGTAGAAAGGAGAGGTATTGGGAGACTGGTACCAGGCTGGTTCGGCGTACGGGATTGTAGAACCAAAGCGCTCCATCTTTTGGGAAGACTCTTTTTTGGTTTTTGCAAAGACCAGCCAGTTGCGATCAAGTGAATAAGCGGATCTCCTTTCTCGGTGGGTATTTAATATTCTCGCTGAACAGAGATAGGGATCCAAAATTCCGTACAAATATTTATCTCGGGCATGGCTCCCCTGCTACACTTAAAATTCAAAAGTTCGCCCTCGGCCGTGAAGACAAAGGTTTTGCTACAGAGGCTTGCAGACGCGCCTTTCGGAGATTAGGTAGGTCTTGATATGGTGGGCCCCGAATCGAACGGAAGGGATTGAAGTCGGAAGCATCAGTATCATTACCCCAAGTCTCACATGGGTGCCCATAAATGCATCGCACTTGCGAGGTACATGATTGAACCGAGGCTTGTGTTGATCTTTGCAGTGGTTATGTCTGCAACTATGAGATATGGAGACTATGGGGCCTACTGGGCGCTCAATCTCTAAATAGCAGTAAAGAGGCACCCTCACTGCCACCTCGTCCAAGTCAGACTCTCCACGTCTCCAGCAATGGCGCCCCGTCCCCTCACCGGAAGCTATGCACCTCTCACGGCAGAGGGGAATCTATCATTGTCGCAATTCATGACACAATTCAATCCTGACAATGTCGCCTCTGACAAGGTCGTCCACGTGGATACAATCATGAACAAGGCCATAACCTACGGAGCCCTACGAGAAGAAGCCGCCAAGTGTGCTTGGGGTTTGAAAAACTTAGGCTTGCAGAAGGGGAAGCTGGTCCTAGCCATCGCGCCAAACTCGACAGATTTCGTTCTGCTCGCACACGCAACATGGTGGGCAGGGGCATGCTTCTCGCCAGTCAATCCTTCATCGACCGGCAAAGAACTTGCCCACTTTCTGAACCTCACAAAGCCTGCCATTGTCGCAGTATATCCCGCCTGCCTGGCGGCTCTCCGAGAAGCCATAAAGTTGACTAGAATGACGCCAACCATCATTACTCTGATCTCAAGATCAGGGGCCTTACCGCTTTTCCCGGACGACATTGCTGGACGTACCAGAGATGAAGTGGCTGCCGTCTACAGCCTCACCAGTGATAGGCTGAGTGCCAGAACAACTGCAGCTGTGGTCTGCTTCTCATCGGGTACCACTGGAAAGGTCAAAGGTGTGCAATTGTCACACTATAACCTCATTTCCAATGTTTTACAGATGAGATGCTCTCTCCCGAGTCTAGCGAATTCCTCGCAGCGTGAGGTCTTCTTCGCACCGTATTGCCACATCTACGGCATGTCATGTGTCGTGGTGCAGGCCATGTGGCTAGGTGCCTTTGCCTGCGCCATACACGCATTCAATCTCGATGTGTTTTGCGCAAAAATGGCAGAATTCAGAGCCACCTGGGCGCACGTTGTGCCTCCGGTTGCTGTCATGTTGGCAGCATCTGACATACCCATGAAGTATGATCTGTCTGCCCTGCAACGTATCGTGGTGGCTGCGGCACCTACAAAGAAGTCCCTTCAGACTCAGCTCAAAGCCCGATTTTCGCAGTCAGTGAAGGTCTTGCAAGGTTACGGACTCACGGAATGCTCGCCAAGTGTCCTCCATCAGCACGAATCCGACGAGGACGATATCGGGACAGTCGGGAAAGTCTTATCGGGTACACAAGTTCGACTGGTCGACCCTGTCTCGAAGGAAGACGTTGCACCTGGGCAAGAAGGGGAACTTTGGGTGCAGGGGCCGCAGGTGATGATGGGCTATTTAGGTGATTCCGAAGCTACGGCCGGAACATTTTCAGGTGGCTGGTTAAGAACTGGTGATATCATGAGAGTCGACGACAAGGGGAACTTCTGGGTCGTTGATCGCTTGAAGGAGCTAATCAAATATAAAGGGTTCCAGGTCGCCCCGTCTGAGCTCGAGGATATATTGATCTCGCACCCAAAGGTATCAGATGCAGCCGTCTCGTCCATGTACGACGATGCGCAGGCAACCGAGCTTCCCTGTGCCTACGTTGTTTTGAAGCCAGATGTGATTGCCGGGGAAGCCTCCAACTTGAAAGCAGCGCTGCAAGAGATTCGGCAATGGGTTGACGGGCAAGTCGCGGGTTACAAGAAACTTCGAGGAGGTGTCTTCCATGTCTCGGAACTGCCCAAGACAGCGAGCGGGAAGATACTGCGGAGGTTGTTGCCGCCAAAACTGCAGCAATCTAGACAGGCTAGACTATAGCTATTCATTAATGATTTAGAATTCGAGAACGAGTCCAACGGGGCCATTGGGAGATCGCTTGTGTGGTAGGCAAATGTCATGGCCGGTCTGTCCGTCAAAGTCGGAGTAGCAATAGCAGGGGGCCTGGAATATTGAAGCGAAGCAGAGACACGGAACCAATCTATCTCATCCATTGGGTTGCCACATGTGAGGTACCGTCGCAGCTCACCTTCGAGATTGACTTCGGTAATTTTGGTATTTGAGAGCTTGTACCGTTCGTACCATCTTTCACTGCCTGTTCCAAGCACTTCTGTAGTCCCTTTTTTGAGCAGGTGAGGTGATTATCACAAGAAAGGGTTCGCTGAGCTTGACTCCATCATGTCTGGGTGGAGGGTTCCGACGAGACAAGGACACCTTCGGGGCGCCAGCAGGCCCATAACCCCAGAGCGATGCATCTCCGGGACTTTGGGAAGCGACCCCAAACTTTATTTGACCCCATCACTAGAAGTTGAAGGTTGATACATCTCGGGCATCCCATATGAAATCAGCTCGGCTCTCTGGACTTCTACAGGAGTCATACGCACCAGCCTCGTTTTTCACATCATAGACCACCAACCATGGCGAATGACAGCTACGATGTGGTTGTGGTGGGTGCAGGCTTTGCCGGAATCTACCAATTGTACAAACTTCTGGAATTGGGCTTTTCCGTGAAGCTGATTGAGAAGGGAAGTGGCCCAGGAGGAACGTGGTACTGGAATCGATATCCTGGCGCCATGAGTGACACGGAATCATTCGTCTATCGCTATTCCTGGGATGTGGAAGACCTTAAAGAATACCCGTGGTCCCGGTCATACCTGCGCCAACAAGATGTTCTTGCTTATCTAGAGCATGTGGTTGAACGATACAACCTTGGAAAGTACATGCAGTTCAATACGGAGCTATTGGGAGCGGACTATGACTCCGTCAAGAACGTCTGGAAGGTCGAGACCGACAAGGGCCATTTCACCTCTCGCTACTTGATCACTGCTCTTGGCCTCCTTTCTCGTCCAAACTGGCCAAACATACCAAAAATGCAAGATTACAGGGGTCTCAAATATCATACAGCGGAGTTTCCCAAGGAATACGACCTGAAGAATAAGAAAGTCGGCGTCATTGGCTGTGGCTCGACCGGAATCCAGCTCGTCACAACGATTGCGAAGGACGTGCAACATTTGACTTGCTTCATAAGACGTCCTCAATACAGCGTGCCTGCTGCCGACCGAGCGGTGACGAAAGAGGAACGCGACCAACTCAACGAGAACTACGAAAACATCTGGGACCAAGTCAAATCAAGCTTCACCGGCATGGGATTTGAAGAAAGCAAGATCTCGGCCCTGAGTGTCTCGGACGAAGAGCGGCAAAGAATATATCAAGCAGCCTGGGAGAGGGGAAATGGTCTACACTTCATGTTTGGGACGTTCAACGATCTCGCAGTCAACGAAGCTGCAAACAGAACCGCTTGCGACTTTATCCGCAACAAAATCGACTCGATTGTGAAAGACCCCGAGAAGGCACGGAAATTGAAGCCTACGGAGCTCTTTGCACGCCGTCCCTTATGTGATACTGGATATTACGAGACATTCAATCGCGACAATGTCGACATTGTGGATCTCAAAGCCACCCCGTTGGAGGAGTTCACAGCTACAGGGCTCAAGACCTCTGATGGAGTCAATCACGAGCTCGACATCGTGATCTGTGCTACTGGTTTCGACGCTGTTGATGGCAGTTATAAAAGACTGCGTATCAGAGGCCGAGACGGCAAGAGCTTGAATGATCACTGGGGAACTGAGCCCTGCTCATACTTGGGCTGTTCCATTCCTGGCTTCCCAAATTTCTTCATGGTCAATGGGCCAAAGTCGGTCTTCTCTAACATCCCTCCTGCTGTCGAAGCTCATGTAGAATTCATCTCAAACCTGATAGCACATGCGGAGGAGCGTCGCCGCAATACAATCAATGGGAGCTCCGGCGAACGGCGAGTGGAGGTGGAGGCTACGGAGAAAGCTGAGGACGATTGGGATCAAGTTTGCGACCAGGTCAGCACCACCAACTTATTCAGGCAAACCGACTCCTGGATATTCGGGACAAACGTCGAGGGAAAGAAGAAGTCGGTTCTCTTCTTCTTAGGTGGACTAGCTGCGTTCAGACAGCACCTTCACGAGGTGGCGGAAGCTGGGTACAAGGGATTCAAGCCATTTTGACAATAAGTTTATGGTTGAAGGAGCTATATACATATACATATATATCTAGATTGAATGTCATGCTGACAGACTATACTAATTTGGTGTACGTCTTGTTGAGGCACTCAATTTACCCTGGAGAAACTGGCTCTCGCTGATGATTAACGTGCCTCTTTCCTAAGCCTACCATGGAACGAGTCATGGCACATTGTGCAAAGTAGATTAGACAAGGAGGGATTGAAACCCCAACTCCATCGGCCCCTGGAGGGCTACGTAACCTCGCCCGCAGCCTTGAACCATCCACGAATCGGGGCCTTAATGTACCCCAGCTTCAACTCGGCCGAAGTCGAAAACTTTGAGGCTAAGAGTGGAACGGCTGGGGAGGCTCCCCGCTTCCTGAACACTTATACTTCGATGCAAAACCCCAAGTCCCAGTTCTCTGTGCTGAGATTTGCGATATTCTGGCAGGCAAATACCTAAGCGGCTATCATGGGTGTCCTTCAAGGCGGTATTCTCACTGTAACCGGTGCAGCCTCTGGTACGTACTGGACTGCACTACTCATCAATCAAACCCTGCTCCACTGACGGCTGACCACTGAACAGGTATGGGCCGTGAGGTTGCATTGGCCTTTGCACGAGAAGGAGCACGCGGCTTGGTCATAGGAGATCTGGCACAGGAGGGACTTGCGGAAACAAAAAAAATGGTGACGGAGAAGTGGCCCGCGGTTGAGGTCGTTGCATCAAGCCTCGACGTTTCTGACGAGGCCAGCGTCAAAGCCTTTGTCGATTTAGCGGTCTCCAAGTTTGGCAGCATTGATTACTCAGTCCATGCTGCCGGTGTCGCACCACAGATGCTTACTGTCATGGATTCTCAGAGTGATGCTCTACAGAAATGCATCGCGGTGAATTATAAGGGTGTAAGTGTCCCAGAAGGTATATTCAAAGGCTGAGTTTGATATCTAAGCACAGGTTTTCCTTTGCTGCCGTGCCATTATTGCGCAGATGCTCAAACAATCACCAATGCAAGGCCTCCAGGTCTGTGGGAGCATTATCAACATTACATCGCTTGCAGGGCACGGCGGGGCTTTCCAAAATCTCCCATCCTATACTGGGTCGAAGGCGGCGCCTGAGGCTTTGACACGAGTGCTCGCCCAAGACTTTGGACCCGAAAAAATCCGTGTCAATTCGATAGCACCAGGTTTTACCTTGACCCCGATGTTAAAGAAACATGCGAAACTAGAAGATATGGAATACGTGGCGAACGTTACTCCCATGCGGAGGCTAGCCAACCCGGAGGATATTGCCAACGCTTGTGTGCTGATGTCTTCGTCCTTGGCCGGCTTCATCACCGGACAGTCGTTGGCAGTCGATGGAGGGCTATCACTGGAACATTACTGTTAGTTCAGGTTCACCAAGTACAGTGGCCTGGCCAGCCCCGGTTGTGATGCATGGCAATGTCGCCTACAAAGATAACTTAGTATGCTGTCCGCATTACGACGTGTGTGACTCTAAAGGAGGCCCATATGGATGAAGGCTGAGGTTTCTCTGATAGCACAAGAAACATACGTAATTGGACCGTCATTCGTGTATATGATCCTGGCTTTGTAATATGTGACCCAGAAGCTGAGAATGTTACATCCCACTCTGTCAGGCCCAAAGAAGGCCCGAGCTTATGAGAGTCCATTAGACATGTCGGAGGAGCCACCCGCCATCTATAGCGACGCATTGACCTGTGATACCAGAGGCCATAGCGCCAGAAAAGTAGAGAATCGCCCCAATGACCTCTTCGATCCCCGTCAGCCGAGCCGTTGGAACCTTCTTGGTCTCTGCACTTGCGAGGACAGGGTCTGTTTCGCTCACAGTCTCAAGCACTCCTGGGCATACGGCATTGACACGAATTCCCAGAGGTGCACAGTCTAGAGCGGCAGACCTGGTAAATCCCACCACGCCATGCTGGCTGGAAGCTTCCATCGTGGCGCGTGGGGTCGTGGCCAATCCCAATGCTGTCGAGACATTGACAATGCTTGCGTGAGCCGGCTTTTGGCTGGCCATCTGCCTGGCCTGATACTGTTGGTAAAAGAATACCTATCAAGCCTCGTCAGGTAGCGAATGTGGGATGGAAAGAGAAGGAAACAAAGAGGATCAGACTTGAGTACCTTCACCATAGTATTTGCCACGTAGGAATCGAACTCGGCCACGCTGGTTTCGAGCACGTTCTTGCGCTCAACACTCTGACAGGCAATGTTGACGGCAAAATCGATGCCTCCAAAGGCCTTTACGCACTCTTCTACGGTGGCGGAGATTGCACCTTCATCGTGAGCAGACCTCAAGACTCCGTATCGGCATTTGGATTTGCTTTTAGATATGGAAAACGCCTGGTCGACTTTTTCCGCCAGCTTGATGAGCTCGCTTTCGTTTTGCGTGACGTCCGTCAGGAATATAGCCGACGCACCCTCGGAGGCGAATGCTAGGGCGAGCCTTTCCCCCAAGTCTGCCACCAGTCAGTCATCAGGTAAGCACCTCTATCTGTTGAAAGCTGGGCTGCGAGTGACGTATTGGAGACATTATGATTGGACAGATTAGCAAGACTGCGTACCGGAGAGCGCGCCAGTGATCATGACTGTTCCATATAACTCGTGTTTGGAGGAGGCCATATTGAATCTGCAAGGAGACTTGTGAGAATGTTGCGAATGAAGACCATCTCCGCCGACGGACTTGAGGCTTTCTTATGCGTAGTGTTTACCAGGCACTCCGGGCAAGCTACAAGAGTTTCACTCGGGAACCCCCACAAACCCCAACTGTTGGAGGGGTCATCAACTCCGCTAGTTAGTCTCAACGGTGTTGCCTGCTCCGAGGGTCGGGCGAGATTCAGGTTCCGACTCAGTCCAGTGTGTGGATAGAACGGAACATCTCTACACGAGATCTTATTGTACCCTTACGGAAGAGTATTAAAAGACAGCTTCGATTTTTTTTTCTTAAGGCACATGAAAATACAAGACTATGATTGTGAAAAGGACCTCCATCACCTCCAGTTCGCCGCCGATGGCGAAGCTACACTCCTTACCAAGACATATCCTCAAGTGTTAATGCCGAAGATTCAGTGGCGAAGCCTTGGAAATTCGCTCTGACCAGGCGCAGGATTTCCTCCCTAAACCTCATCCACAGATTCGTAGTGTCTTGGGGTCGTTAGTATCGGTGGCTGGGCTAGACTCTCGTAGTTTACTGACCGCTTTTCTTCCGTCGACAAAGCCCCCTTGTCATCTTGGGATTCCTCGTTCAATTCGACAACGACAACCTCACCAAATTTCTTGTTGATTTCCTCGAGACTTAGACCCTTTGTCTGTGAAGTCGGAGTCAGTTCTGTGTCAAGGCTCATGAAGTTGCTGCGCTCAATTGACGCTTACCTCAGGACACATGACAAGGAAAATGAGGAAAAAGAATACGTTGCAGGAGATGAACACGAGGTCGAACTTCCAGCCGATCTTACTCAATGCAATCGGAGCCGTTTGAGTGAAGCATACAGTTATTCCCATGCCGACGAAGAGAGCGATACTCAAACCCAAAGATCGAATTTTTGTTGGAAGGACTTCGGCCGCATATGCGTACGGGGTGGAGAGATAGGTCGTGCCGAAAACAAAAATGAAGATCATGACCATGGCGACACCTGCGTTTCCCCATGCTATTCCTGCTGTCAACTTGTACGCCACCGCCGTCGAGAAGGTACTTTTACTCACCATTTGCACCGGTGGCCGCAAATCTGTCTGAAAAGGCGGCAAACATAGCCAGCAAGACCGTCATAACTCCGAGACCGGTCAAGAAGAGAAGCTTACGGCCGAACCAATCGATTGTAGAGATGTTGAGAATTCCACCTGCCAGGAGACAAATCTGGAATACAATTGCCATGGCAAGCGTCTTTCTCGAGCTAAAGCCAAGACCCCCATAGAACACGGACTGTAGCCTTCATTAGCAGATTCGGCCGAGGGGGCTGAAATATCAGCTCAAGAGGCAGAAATACCCACTTGGAAAACTTGGACGGTTGTTGCACCACTTGTCTGGGTGGAAGTCATGGCACAAATGGCCAAAAATGTTCGTTTGAGCTCGCTTTTGTTCGTCAAGAGGTGAAACCATGGCTCTTTCCTGTATTCTTCCATTTCAAGCGCCAGTTGAGCACTAATCTGAAGATACTCCCGTTCCCAGAACATGTGGTCTGAATTGTCATCATGCAGACGTTGAAGAACGACCTTGGCCTCTTCGTTGCGCCCTTTCATAATCACTGTCTGTTGTCAGAATTGCACACTATGGAAAGAAGCGGCTGGACCCAGTACTCCCCAGGTCCAGGCTGAGAAGGTCACTCACGCCATCGAGGGGAGAACGGAAGGAAAAACACTCCGGATATCATCGCCACCGCAGGTACGATCTGAATCGCAATTGGGACGCGCCTAGCGGACCAAAACAGATGAGCGGTCAAGGAAACCCTTGTGACAGCTTGTTGATCCCAAAAGGCTAGCTGACTTACCATTGTACACTCAAGTTTGTAGCAAAGTTGCCCGCAAAGCCCACGAGCGATGCAAGAAGACCAGCTACGCAGAGTGCCATGTTCTGAAAAGCGACCATGCGACCGCGAACGGCCGGTGGCGCAATCTCTGACTGGTAAATTGAAACTGTAGTGAGCATTATGCCCGAAGAGACTCCCGCTAGAACACGCCCAGCGAAGAAGAGCCCAATTTCACGTGCGGCGACCTGGAAAATGGCTCCAATGAGACCCAGGGTCCCGCCAAAGAGGAGTGTATATTTTCTGCTGTAGGTGTCTGCGAGAAAACGGACCACGAGCAGCCCAACAATGACGCCACCATAGTAGCTGGATCCTATGGCCCTTTTTGCCGTTAGAATACTCATATCTTTTACACCACTTTGTCACCACCAACTTACCCGGCAACTTTTGCAGTGGGAGTGAAATATTCATTGAACCCCGGTTGTGCAAGACTGTGCTCAATCAAGTCAGCGACTCCAGCTTTTTCAGAATACCTACCTAGATCTCTCCTGCCTGCCTGTACAGTAGGAAATACAATATACTAGGCCTCTGAGGAGGAGGAAGGTTTTGCTTTCGCTCTCTTCCTCCAGCGTCTTGCAATAAAAGGTCAGGGATGGCTGGAGACTCACGTTGATGCTATGATGGCACTGTCGTAGCCATAGAGGCAGCTGCCTGCTGACGCGATGATGGCGCACTTCCAATTGTAAAATCGGCCCATTTTGAGACAGTAGTCGTTCAAACTGGCGTGATTGTTGCGTATAACAGAACCTAGAGAAGTGTGGGGGACGTGGGATAGTGTCGCAATACGGGTCTGGGCCACCCGGACAGATTTATAGCTGGAAGACACATGTAGATGCTGGGGCAGCTACGTGAACACTCCTTACCCGTCGATGGGGTAGCTTCGGACACATTTTCAAGCCTTATTTGCTCCCTCGGTAGCGGCAAAGTTCCAGAGTCATGCCATCTATTATATTTGCGACCAACTCCTCTAGCATGCCGTCCAAGGATCAAACGACCTTCTGGATCCAAGGTCAACCAAGTTTTCCTATTCAAAATGATACAATAACTCAAGGACACGGTCACAGAACCAACTATGAGCGATCTCGAAACTGGGGCGCCATGATCAGGAACATACGCCCGAACATCCAGACGACATGAAAGAGGACGGCGACTAGCTAGTCGATGTACTCCACTATTTCCCTTCCTCCGATCTTCCTAGTATAGCCTGACAAATTGGCTAGTCAGCCGTAGCCACTAACCCTAAGACGTACCTCCCACGAGGAGCCCATATCTCCCCAGACCCGAGATTGCCAACCCCAACCCCCACCCTCGGCCCCGGACGAAACCACTCACGCGATGGACTGTTTCTGGTTTGCCACTGGAGACTTGCGTTGACTCGCTTTTCATCTAGTCTCGCGATGGCTGGAGGGAATTGTGAACCCGCTTGTTTGCAATCCTTTGCTAGGAAATGTTAGTGACAAGTTTCTGCCGCATGGTTATCTTACGGATTCAAATCTTCTATCAAGGACGGACTACTACGCTGGTACGCCCTTGTCCTGGGGGATCCGTTCAAGAAATGGTGAAGTGCCTTGAAAACCAGAAACCGCTATGAATTGAACAAAGAGTGTGGACGTTCATTTTCCCGAGGGTTTCTGGATTTTGTGCACAGAGAAAAATATTCAACCTTTCCTGTGTGTCTTTGTTGACGAAGCTTGGAAAATCTTCATACACTTTTAACCGCAGCATTTCCCAGGATGCCCCCTCGCTTCCAAGATTCTGCCGTCGAGTCTTCATCCATCCATTGCTGATGCTTGGAATGAAAATCAGGTCTGGCTCTATTGTACATGCCACCGGCGTCTACCTCCATGGCAGCCCCGGATGCGTCTGTGTCCAAAAAGTGCTCAAAACAAGCCATGTGGTTGGCCATCGGTGTAATGATGTCGGCCCGAAACGACGGAATTGCTTGGTGCGTGATGCCCGTGTCTGTCAGTCCTGGGCAAATGGCATTGATCTGTATATTTTCCTCCGCAAGTGATTTGGCGATCGAACGAACCAGATAAATACACTAGAATGGTCAGAGAGACAGCAGCGACAACGAATTAGAAACCTTTTCAAAACTTACACCGGCTTTTGCAGCCGCATAGATCGGCCCCGTAGGCAATCCATAGATGCCAGCCTGCGAAGCTGTCACCACGATCTTTCCACCCTTTCCTCCGTTCTGTCGCATGTAGAACAGTGCTAGATTGACGCTGTAAATGACTGCTTTGAGGTCCACGTCCAGAACGAGCGTGCTTGGCTTCTTTGGTGAGTCCCCCGTTATGGTCAATAAGGGAACTTGCTCGGGCAACCCTGCATTCGCAGCAACAAAGTCAATCCTGCCCCATTTCTGGACTGCGCTTTCGAACGTTCTGCACTGGGAGTCCCAGTCCGAGACATCACACTTTGAGAACAGGGTCTCCGGCCCCAAGGCATTCGACTGTAGCTTGCCCAACTTCTCATTCACATCAGCCATGACGACGCGCCAGCCGCGGGACACGAGAAGCTTGGAAAGGTTGAGTCCAATCCCGGAGGCGGCGCCTGTAACAATTGCTACGGGTTTCTCGGTAGTTGAAGCCATTCTGCGATCGGATTTCAAGGTGAGAAAATTAGATGCAAGTCCAGCGGCACAAGAGTCTAATGTATTCCTCAATCGATGTTTATCTTGCAGGTTGGAGACCCGAGGCTTAGGAGTTTATAAGAAAGTTCACGGCAATTTGGGGTAATTGCTGTTGTCTACCTCCGAAGACCAGGTGGGCTGGCGCCGCTCACAAGGTGCGCATCACCTGTTGCCCTAACCCTATTGGGAAGGTTAGCCGATCCGACCTGTATTAGGCAGGTTAGGCGAGTGATACTGCGGCACTTATTGCCACCTAGTCTCTCCACCTTCAATAGTTGCTAGTTAGTCAATCAATCAATTCAGTTGGTTATACAGACACCTTACCCCAGCTCTTGTATGAGGATGTACATTACCTGGAGAGACTGGGATGTTACCGAGTGCCATCAAGAGCCTCACTGGATGATTTTCTCAAGGCTTACTTTCGCTACATCCATCCACATCAACCCATCTTGAATGAAGGTGATTTCTGGCGGGCCTATACCAGTCCCATGTCAACACAAACAAGGACCATCTCCATCTTTGTATTTCAAGCAATGCTGTTTGCTTCTTGCAGTGTGCGTGTCTCAAACACTGATTGGTGATCTATCTGCTAATGTCCCAGTTTGTCCCATTCTCTACAATTGATCGACTTGGCTTCAATGGCTTTCACCATGCTCGTGCCACATTCTACCGTCGAGCCAAGGTAAGAGAAACCCACTGCGTTTCTTTGCGTAGACGGCTAAAAGTGGTTTTACAGGCGCTCTTCCATGTCGACTCCTACAGAGATGCGTTGTCTAGTGCTCAGGGCGCTCTGCTGCTGACCCACTACGTATCTTCTTCTGATCCGAAAGTGAACACTTACTGGTTAAGCAACGCCATATATCTAGCTAGATTAGTCAATGTGCATCGACACGACAGTCTCAACAAAACTTCTGTCCAAAGATGGGGTCAATTGGAGAGGCTCTGGTGTTGTTGCTTGCTTCGAGACCGACTTCTGGGACTCGGACTACATAGGTCCATGCAGATTGATGCCGAGGACGCCCTTCTTTCTGGAATCGAGGACAGAGTTCTTCGTACCAAAGCAGAAGAGTCAATTGTGCACAACTCGACGACCAAGCTAGCGTTGACAAAGTCATTCTCCGCACTATGCAGTCTAGCGGCGCTGTTAAGACGAACCCTGGGGACCTTATCACTCGGTCCTGCATATTCAGGTCACGGAGAGATGAAAATGACTACTGATGAAATCCAGGCTTATTCAGACCTCCTCGAACAGTGGTTCACGTAAGCCAAAGTCAGCTGCTGCAGCCATGATTCTACAGACACAGCCGTCATCTTACATAACAATGTTATGTACATCTACTATTAGTAAGTGGCTTCAATTCATTATCAGTACAAGTCTAACTTCAATGCATAGTTCGGCTAAAGTGGCACTTTGGAATCATGCAATGTATAATTCCGTCAAGAATGGATGCCCAGTGCATTTGGACTTCTCGGAGGGTCGGAGGGCAGTCGAGACCGCAATACGCGGCATCGACGCAAGTCTGGAGCAGATTTCTGAAAATGGCATGCTATCATTCATGCCCATTGCTATGTGAGTTCCGAGAGCTGTGAGATCTTGGGGCGTTTCATTGACCAAATTATCTAAGCGTCGCACATATCGCGATTCCCTTGGTCCAACATATTATGAACATCAAGGTGCATCGACAGCAGCACGATGCCAGCACCCACAAGCGCCTGAGCGTCTATATTGCCGCCCTCAATGGCCTTAAAGAACGATATGAGGGAGTCGACCGAGTTTTGCATCATATCCGCCAGATCGTCACCTGTTTAGACGGGCAAGAAATGTCGACCTCGCTGTCTTCCGACAGCCGGTTCCTCAGCGATTCTCCGCCAGATCACAGTGATGGAGCGGGCAGTTTCACATACCTGCCCCGGCTTTTCCTGCGGGAGATGATTATCGTCCAACTGGCTTTAGCCAAAGGTCAATACCCCGAGGACCACGAACTGCCTCCACCGTTGGCCTCTCCCGCGGCAAGCGACGCTAACAGCACATGTACGTGCTCATCGAATGAGAGCTGGAATCTACCAGAGTTGGGAGATGCCTTCGAATCCCTGAGGGACGCAATGTCCCCTGCCCGTGCGCCTGAGTCCAAGCAAACAGGAAATGTCTACGGGGACTGTGGGATCATGACAGAGAAGCCGACATCGCCGGCGATTGCAGCGAGTTTCGACGATTTCCATGACCTTTTCAACGACGGATAGGCTCTAACCCCACCATTCGCCATTACCGTTCAGGGGCGAGCGACTGAGTACTTTTTGCCAAGAACGTGACCCGCCATCGGCCGGGAGCCTCCAACAAAGCTGAGAGACAAACCGAGAAGTCGAAAGTTGAGTCAAAGTGGCGAGCTCGTTTGTCGGGATACATCGCAAGATCAAAAAAGCCGTCGAAAACTCATCATGGTGTCATTGCTATTTCAGAAGATCTGATGAGAGCCACAGCCACGGGAATGGTTCAAAATCAGCATTGTCAACCGTGTTCGGGTGATGTTCTGGAAATCTGTGAATTGCTACGCTATTTAGGGGGTGAAGACCACAGTGATGATAGTCCCCTACAATCGCCAGACAAGCTTCATAGCTTCCACCTCTATGAAGAATCCACATGTCGATCTCTATAACCTAGCTTGCACAGTCTGCACCTTGGACCGTTCTCGAAGCTGCCGCCTCAAGATCTTCCCCGAGGGGTTTTTGGGGATCGCATCGACCCATTCCACCCCGGCTGTCAGCCATTTATACGGGACTGCCCTCTGCTTGACATAATCAAAAATCTCCTGCTCAGTGACTTCGGCATGTGGCTGCCGCTGCACAAACGCGCGGGGTTTTTCGTCACCGTCGGTGGTCGGGACACCGATCACGGCTACGTCAGCGACGGCCGGATGCTCCAGGATCAGCGCCTCAAGTTCGGCGGGAGCGACTTGGTTTGCTTTGACCTTGATCAGCTCTTTGATGCGATCGACGATGAAAAAGCACCCGTCGTGGTCGACGTAGGCAATGTCTCCGGTCCTCAGCCAGCGCTCGCCGTCCGGGGAAAAAGCATTCTTCGTCGCCGTGGCATTGCGCCAGTAGCCTTTCATGACATTGGGACCCCGGCACCAGAGCTCGCCAGTGTGCTCAGGGCCACGCTCGGTAATCTCACTGAAGGATTCGCGATCACTGGAGTCGGTTGTGATCCTCATGATCTTAGCCTCGCAATTGGCGTTGGGTTCGCCGACCCCGAAGGACGTCGAAGTTTTGTTTGGATCCCATCCCAGCAAGGAACAGGTCACTTCCGTCATTCCCCACCCTTGTTTCATGTTGAACCTGTTGCCGCACAACTTCTCTATCGCGCGGCAGACGTCGCTACCGAGCGGAGCGGAACCACAGCCCATGCTTTCGATACTGCTCAGGTCGGCTTTCTTTGCGGCAGGATGCTTGGTCAGAGCCACAGCGATGGGGGGTACCAGAGCTAGGTCAGTGATCTTGAATCTTTCGATGTTCGCCAACATCTCCACAAAGTCGAATTTAGGCATTATGAAGACGGGGATTTCCCGGAGGAGTGCGCCTGCAATGTAGATTGTTTGGGCCATGGCATGATAAAGAGGCAAGAAACAGAGCCATTTTGTTCGAGCATTCAGTTCAGCATAGTCCGGGCGGAGCGTGGGGATGTGGTTGTACTGAAGCGTGTTGGCGATGTAGTTGTAGTGTGTCACTTCGACCCCTTTGGGCATCCCGGTTGTGCCCGAGGAGTAGTTGAGAGCGATTGTCTTGTGGCATTTTTCTCCCTGTATACGGGTCAGCGAGGCCTTGCCTTGGGCCAAGGAAGCGCTTTTTGGTGCTAGGGCCTCAACTCACATCCAGCTCTTCCCACTGAAAACCTTGGGCCTCTTCTGCTGGCGCTATTAGAGCAGACCAGTACTTGCACCCTTTGAGATCCGGTTGACTGCCTTTGTCACTCAAGAAGACATTTTCGTTGTAGACGTATACCCGGCTTATGTCCAACCCTGCCTGTTTGGCCGCTTCAATACCGGTGTCAATGGATACATGTGAACAAAAGAGATAAGTGGCCTCCGAATCCCGCAGCTGATTTGCCAACTCTCTGGAGGTAAAGGTCGGATTTGCTCCGGTAAAGATCCCTCCCGCCATGACAATGCCCATGAACGCGACGGGCGTGGCGAGGGTATTTCCAGAGAAAACCAAGATCCGATCTCCAGGCTGGAAATTAGCGCTCTTGAGCAGACCCAGCGCAACACGCTGCGACCAAAGGCGGAATGATCTGCGAGTGAAGAACAGCTCCTCGGGCCGTGTTGCGTCGATATACGCTTTCTTGTCACTCAGATCTTTGTGAGGAGATCCAAACAAGAAAGTTGGAAAGGAGCATTGCGGCAGCGGGATGGACCAGCGAGATCTGTACGGCATCTTTTCGTGCTGAGCCCTTTTCGCTTCTTTTTGTCGTTCCTTTGATGTTTCCAACCGAGCTAGACGCTGGAATCTGGGCGGGGTCTTTCAGATTATCGAAACCTGGTTGCCCAATTCCTTGACGCGAGACAGGCCGAAAGGTCGAGTTGTTGAAGTGCCGCCAGCAGTCGAGATTAATGGGAAGGAGTATATGCGTGGTACATCCGCTTCCCTAGCTAGAGCACGCACTGTTAAAATTCTTATACTCTGTTTTCCTGTAGCTTCTTGTCCCGACAGGAATGACACCCTGTCAGCCTCCGCATTTGCAATCGCAGACTTGCCTCGGCACCGAGTCAAGGAAGGGGAAGCGGAATCGACTCTGTTCCTGCCATCGTCTTACTGGTCACGAAGGTTCCACATCAACACCATGCATTCTACCGAAAACAACCGAAAAATACCGTTGCAGCCAAGCCGCAGTCTCCAGACCCCTGGCGTATGCCTTCGTTCCAACAGTCAATGCAGAACATGTTCATTCTTTTATTTCCGGGGGCTCCCACCTGGGGTTCCCCAGATTTCGAGTCCTCCAGCCCTTCTCATACAACTTTGTTCTCTATCTTGGCTTCCGAGCACCCTCCAACAAGCCATCACCATGTCGCAACCGGTTTCAGCGACCCCTGCCCTGGAGAGCCATGCTGCCTCAAAAGAATCAATTGCGGAGCATTTTGAAGTTGAAGAAGAAAAGGATGCTGCGGACAACGTCCATGTCCACAATGACTTTGCCTACAAGGGCGACGACTCGGACGGCAAGGTTGACTGGACTCTTCGTCATTGCGTGGCTGCAGTCTCGCTGGGCATGTTATACGCGGGTTAGTTGTTTGCTTCCGTTCAGAGTCACCGTCTCACGCAGGCCATTACAGGGTCACAGATCATGCTTTATTTCGTTGGAGGATGCCTTTCCTTCATCGAAGCTGATCTAGGAGCCGAGAAAGTGGGAAGTTGGCTTCCCGTGTCGAACACATTGGCCATTACGGCTGTTGCACCATTTGTGGGATACTTGCAAGATTTGCTTGGTCGTCGCAATATCACACTGGCTGGCTCCGTTGTCATCATGGTGGGAATTGCTCTGATCGGTAGTGCCCACTCTTTCGGACAGGCTGTGACAGGAATGACCCTCTCCGGAGCGGGTGCGGGCGTCTGCGAGTTGACCGCTCTAGCTGGGTATGTTGTTCTTCATGCGGTGTTTTATTGTGCAGAGTTCTGACTGCAGTTAGGTTGTCGGACATCGTACCTGTACGTCAGCGTGGAGTTGCATTGGCACTTATGACTGCGTCAATCCTTCCATTTACGCCCTACGTTATGTATAGGTAAGCAAAGTAATGTGTCTTGTTTTGTATCAATCGACTATTGACCATTTGTAGCCAGTTACTTTCGACCTACGTAACATGGAGATGGACACAATGGATAGCTCTGTGAGTCGCCGACTGCACGATAGAACACGAGGCTAACGTAAACAAGGATCTGGAACGGCATCGTCTTCGCAGGCCTGCTGACAACATACTTCCCCAAATCACATCCTCGTCTACAAGGGATGTCCAGACGGCAGATCCTGGCACGCATTGACTATATTGGCGCGATCTTGTCCATTGTGGGCATCACCCTTTTGTAAGTGTCTCTGAGTCATGTGTTTAGTGCATGCTGTTGACCAATACAGCCTCGTTGCCCTCCAATCCGGCGGGTACACTCACCCATGGGAGAGCGGCTACGTCCTGGCACAGCTGTTGATCGGTATCTGCCTTGTGATCGCCTGGGTGATTTGGGAGTGGAAATTTGCTCCGCACCCCATGATCCCACGTGAACTCTACCAAGGACAACGAATTGTAGGACTTACGTTCCTTGTCGCTTTTATCGCGGGCTTCGATTTCTACTCCCTGATCAACTTCTTCCCGATCTCGTTCTCCACCCTTTGGAGCCCGGATCCCGTTCAAGTTGGTTTGAAAGGCCTGGGCTACGGTATCTCCACTACGGCAGGCGCGGTCTTTTGGAATGCACTGCTGTCGACGAAGATACCTGCAAAATATATTCTCATGATCTCTTCAACCATGATGAGTAAGTTGGCTTAGATCCACTCTCACAAATACTACCTACTGAGTCTGACATTCTCTACTAGCTGCTTTCATCGGCGGACTCGTCGCGACGACACCAGAAACACCAAAGCTAGCAGTCGCCCTCGGAACAATCGCTAGCTTCGGAGTCGGCGGCATCCTGGTCCCCGCTGCCACCGTTGCTCTGATCGTTGTCCCGGACTCTTTGCTCGCAACCACGGCGGCCTTGTCGTTGTCCATCCGTACCGTTGGCGGCTCGATCGGGTTCACGATCTACTACAATATTTTCGTGAACAAGCTCAACAAACAGCTACCAGAGAACGTCGCCAAGTACGCCATCCAAGCAGGCTTACCGGCGTCAAAGGCCAAGGACTTTGTCACCACATTTCTCACCGCCCCGGCAAACATCACACGAGCGCCTGGGTACTCCCCGCAGGCCCTGGCTGGTGCTGAGCTGGGGACCAGGTGGGCTTATGCCGAGTCTCTGAAGTGGGTGTGGGTCACTAGTATCCCATTTGGCGTCTTGGCCATCATCACCTGCTTCTTCATCCCGAGCATCAGGAAGTACCAGACGAACAGAGTTGCTGTCGCGTTGTAAGTGACAGGCTGTTGGCCGAGGTGTCATTGCGAGTCTCCGGACTTGGTAATCTACGTCGGAAAAGTTCTGAAGGATTGCTCGCGGGAACCCTTCTCTGGAGTGGGAGTCTTCTGCTGTCTTCGCCTTTTAAAGTCCTACGATAAGTCCCCAGATGTCCAGATTGTACCTCAGACCTCGTGTTCAAGTGAATTACAAATGCACAAAAATGCTCATGGACGACGTAGAAGAAGTTTTTTCTCGGGAAGGTACTATTCCCATCTCGCTTGAGGACGTAACTATGTTGGCAGAAGTGAGCAACAGGACGAGCAGGTCCAACGATAATGCACTTTTCTGTTTGGCCACAACTCCCATAGACGCCCAGGATTGGCTGGCTACGGGGTTTTCTTGGGTTGAGCATGAGGCCTGGATATCTGAGGCGTATCTCCTTCAACTACCCTACGGCCTACGTGGGCCGTTAAGAGCTGGTTAGCCTTGATGCTTTCCCAGTTATACGGGTGGCCGCAAAGAGGATATTAAAACCGAGAAAGCTATTGCGATCATTAAGAAACTTCGTTCTTCTCGTCAATATCGGCGTTATATAGGTTGCTGTTTCATTGTTTGGTCCACAGCATGTATATCCCATGACTCAAGCTGCCAATGGAGGCGCAACAACATATTTCGGCTCGCCCAGGTCATTGGCGAGACCACAGCTTCGTGTGGCTTATCCCCTTGATAGGTTCGCAATGAGAACATTGCCAATTAGGTGCAGGAGAAACTATTTGCGTCATTGACATCTCCATTCCCATCATATGTGAGGAGCTGGGGATACGGGCACAAATTTCGTGTAATATTACTGGAGGGAGAAGTGGGAATAGCTGCCGGCAATGTGTCAGGAACCTTGCGAGACTCAACCCAGCTCACTAGAGCCGCGAGAGGGTCTGTCGGCACCGGCCCTATGCCACCGCCACAATGCGAGACCCCCGGAGCGAAGAAGACTCGATGGAAATCGTTCAGTTGAGACTGAGTAAGCGCCATCTCGCGCGAGAGTGCCGAACGGTACAACATGGTACTGTAAGGCGTGATCAACTGGTCTGCCAGCCCGTGCCATGTAAGCAGCTTCCCACCACGTTTCTGAAATTGTGACAGATCGGGTGACATTGTGCCCAGAATACCCGAGAATTCGACAACGGACTGTCCGAACACGGAATCGAAATCTGCAAAGGACATGTTCCTCGTCGGGTAGTTGGGATCATGGACGACCAGGTACTTGATCCAGGCTTCTGCAGCCGAGAAAGGAACAGGCACTGTGACTCCATTGGTTGTAGTTGTATTCGCCAGACCGCTGAAGTTGGCACCTCGAGGATTTCCAGGGAACAAAGAAGCTCCAAATGTTGAGGTGCTGCCTGCCCAGATGCGAGAAACGACATCTGCAAAAGTTGTTGATATTGTGACATTCTGGCCGCCACAGTCAACCTTTTTCCCGACAAGGGATTGCGGATCGAAGTCACAGGTGCCCAAGTTCGAAATAAGTCCGTCCGTAGCGCCATCGAGAGGGTCACAGTACTCGAGGGTGGCATTGTAGTATGCATCCAGGACGCACTGCGGTGGAGCGCCCAAGTTATGCATCACCACAGACGGCCAAAAGTCACCTGGCGAGATCTTGGGCGAATTCAATGCAGGAGCGTTGGCCATAATGCCGTCGAAATCTGCAGGATAGACCTGGGCGGCGAAATAGCCCTGGCGTCCACCGGTCGAGCAGCCAGTGTAGTAGGAATAGGTTGAACTCTTGCCGTAGAATTTCTGGGTTAGTGACTTGCCTATAACCGTCATGTCATGTATGGCCCGGTGCGCAAAGTTCTTGACGAGACTTTGGTTGAGAGTACCGTTCTTTGCCAACGCCCACTGACCAGTTTGAGGGTCAATGGTGTTGTTCAAAGTCAGCCCTCCGTCCGTTGTCCCTGTAGCGTATCCAAAGGGAGCCGCGCCGAGTAGATAGTAATCACCGAAACCAGCTGCAAGACCTCCACCACCTGTGGCCTGAAACCGTCCGTTCCAATTGTTCAAAGGCAGCCAGATGTTGACCCAGGTAATATCATTTTCTCCTGGGTGGTTGTAGCTCACTTTGACGTTGCAGATGTCAAGTGGCACACCGGGAGCAAGAGGATTTGTATAGTTGTGAGCTGTCAGGCCTTGCACGCTGGAGATTTCGAGTCCTGGCAGTGATGGCAATGTCAGATTCTCACAAGGCACAGCAGGAGCTATAGTAGTTGTTTGCAATGACTGAGCTTGCCTTATCAAGGCATAAATCAACGTTACGAAAGCCTGCAATTTTGCCATCTTTTCACGCTGGAGGATCCGCGTATTTCGGTAGGCTCTTGACAGATAATGAGGATGATGAAGTTTGCGTCGTCCAGTCGATCGGAATGCCTCTTTAAGCCAAAGCATAACTCGCGTGGGTAGAGTCTCTTCATCATGGCTTGCCGGTGCCGACCAGCCTAACTCCAACTCGATGGAGCTATTCCCCGCGGTAAGCAACTTTTCATATCAAGCAGTATAACTATGAGATAGTCATGGAGAAGATCATATGTGCCGAAACCTCTCCTTCCCCAGACCAAGTCAGACCCACATTGGAAGCGTTGGATTTAGCGTTGGTTATTACTCTAACCTCACCAGCCACGGTTACGGTTGCGGTTGCGGCTGCGGCTGCGGGCACGGCATTTACTGCCATCGAATCGTGTGTTGTCGACACTTGCGGAAGTATGAGAAGGCAAAGAGAGGGACAGCCCTATGGATTAATTCCGAGCCAAATTTCACTGGGCCAATGAAGAACGACCTGTAGAGCTTGATAGCATTACATGAAAGCACAGATTTAGCAGGAGACCTCCACTCGATATAAAATAGTTCCTTCAATTAGTCTATTCTAAGACAAAGCAGGGAACATTCACCATGCGTGTATACTACAGCGCTGGCACAAGTAGTCGGGTATGTGCAAAACGAATTCCGCGAGAGGCTTCAGGACACGAGAGTCGGCGAAGTTCCGTCAGACATGGTCATAGCTTGTGTCTCGCACCGCTAGCGAGGGCCTTGAAACTGGCTTGCACGATACCTTTCGCAAAACGTTCGGTACCGGCAAAAACCTCCAGGAGATTTTGATGATCCAAGATGTCTCTTTCCCCTTCACGTATCAGTTCCTTGATTGCCAAAATGCTGCTGTCGTTAAGATGCGGACCAAGTCGCTCGTTGACCTCGTTGATGACTTCCCTGAGAAAGCCTGCACTATCGTCCTGTTTGCCGGATGCTGGTGAAAAGACCTCGTTGACAAACCCGGACGCCACAAGCTCATCGCAAGTGATACGTTTGCCCATGATGAGTGCTTCATTGGCTTTGCTGGGTCCGAGTCGTTGTACAAAGGTACGGGATGACGCTCCCTCGGCAAGAGAGCCGATGGAAGAGAGCGGGGTGAGCAAGTACGTATGGGGAGCGGCGTATATGAAATCAGCCAGAGCCACGAGGCCAGCCGAGAGACCCACTGCCGGTCCGTTGAGTGCAGCGACAAGGATTTTTCGATGCTGATAGAATGCTCGTGTGACATCAAGTGTTATTGCGGCAAACGATCGCAATGCGGCGAGTCGAGGGTTCTCGCTGCTGCCATTATCCTCCGAGGAGCCCGCGCTCACGTCGGCTCCACTACGACATTAGCCTCGTCTTGACAATAACGAACACAAAGCAAAGAAGGCAAAGAAGGGTGTTCCTTACTTACGCAGAGAAAAAGCGGCCCGTTCCAGTGAGGATGGTGATAACAATGTCGTCCCTTTCATCGATCTGCCGCAGTAGCTCTCCCAGAGCGAAATAAAGAGATCCGGTCAGAGCATTGAGCTTCTTAGGTCTGTTGATAGTGATGATTGCAACCCGACCATTGAAAGTGAGTAAAAGATCCCGGCAGCCCGACATACTGTCTTGACTGAGCCGTGTGCTCTTGTGGATTTAGAACGCAGCAACTGGCGATATTGGGTCTGTATCCAGGTCAAAGTCCACTATTTCAGGACTGGGGTGAGGAAATTACGCATGGAGTAAGGGTAGGAGATATTTATGGGAGTGCCGTGGTGATCTCAAATGCCAGGTCATGCGAGGTAATTCACGGTCCACTAGCCTGATAATGAATTAACGTGAGCCGTCTCCGCGGACCGAGGTGCCTACAGTTGCTACTCCCTCTTGGGTGGGGGACACGATGCCTTAACTTAAGAGCCCTCCGGCATGTACTCACTTTTGCATATCGTGACTTCATTCTCATATCAAGAGTTCTAGCTGTGCGGGCGTTATCAAAAGCAAGTTGAATTTGTGGAATAAGAATGTCTGCCCTTACCATTCCTTATGAACTCCCGTCCAAGGATGTCGGATGGTTGAAGCGAGATGTACTTCTCTTTGCATTGAGCATTGGGTGTACAGTCGGTGAACTGCATTTTCTCTATGTGAGTATGGTATTGCTTTGAGCAGCTTTGTATGTCAAAACAAGTCCTTGACCTTTCGCAACTTTAGGAATTTCATCCAAAGTTTGCGGTGTTTCCGACATACTCGATCATTCTGCGTATGTCCAAAGATATGAAACGCTTCCCTGCGTCGAAAAAGGGTCTAAACTGAGAAATGACGCCCCAGCTTTCAAGCTCACCGATGAAGAAGTTACCGACTACTTTGCCCGACAATCACTTCCCTCTGTCCCAGGAATGCCAAAATTTGACCCAAAACGTGGCGTCGATGGAGAGCGGAAACTCACCATCTTCAAACCCCTGCCTACTTCTAGTGCTGGGAAATCGTTTGAACTTCGAAGTAGAGTTATCGGAATATACGATAAGGGAAAGGCTGGGACTGTCATTGAGACAGAACAGTCTATCGTGGACAAGCGTACAAGTGAGGTCTACTCGCGTGCCGTGGGAAGTGCTTTTCTGATCGGCAAGGCAACTGGGGCGGGCCTAAAGGTGAGCTTTCGTCGAGCTTTTCAAGTTTGTCCTGTTGTACATAGACTAGGTGTCTGATTATTTTTTCCCCGTGGCTTTCGAAAGGACCAATTTCCTCCACGTACCCCCATCCCACGGACAGGATGCCAGATGCCAGCTTTGAGATTCAGACTAACAACGAGACTGCACATCTGTACAGGTACGCAGTTTCACCTCACTCCCTTGCACGGGTATGCTCGTTAGTATCACCACTGACAACTATTGGAAACAGGCTCAACGGGGACTACAACCCCCTCCACGCAGCTCCCGATCTGGGCCGGAGGTGCTATTCTCCATGGGCTGTATAGCTGGAATGCCGTGGCTCATGGGATTCTCAAGGAAGTTGGCTTCAGCAACCCGCGAGCCCTTCGGGAGTTCTCAGCACGATTCGCTTCTCCAGCCAAGCCGGGAGACACACTGATCACAAAGTTATGGACGGTAGGCACAGGCGAGGATGGCTTCGAGGATATCCGATTTGTCACGATGAACCAGACGGGCAAGCCTGTGCTGAGCAACGGCCGCGCTCTTCTTCGGCGTCATTCAGCCCTATAATAACTAACGCGGTCAAGTTTACACACATTAATAGTCAAAGGATGCCTACGGGAGGCAAGTAATACGTTGGAAAAAGCCGATATACGCCGAAATCTGCCGCTTTCATGAACCCAATCATGATAGCCGATGTGGAGTCTGTCTCCTCTGTGGACTTGCCGAGTGTCCTTACATGTCACCCACCAATGACTCTTCCAGCAACATCACATAGAACGATATTCGTGCCAAAAGAGACTGGTCAACAACAACAAGGGCAGTACAAATACGCAGTCGTGTGTCCGCAGCATATCTTGCAAAGGCATCCTGTCTCACGAGATCTAGATTCAAAGTCTGTCGGAGGAATGCATCGTGTTGGAGATACAACAGACAACTTTTACAAATCCGTCCATGCTGTGATGGACCCGATAAAGCGAAAGTCGGCAGCACGGCCACTTCTGCTGACCCGTACAGACGGCCAACGTCTCCCCCTCAATCATACTCAGTCTTGGTCGGAGATTGCCATGTCTTCGACGGCCTTACCAGCTGGGAACCCGGCGGCGAAACACCCATGCCCGTGTTAGTTGAAGCAATGCTTGCTCTCCTGGCCTTGCCGGTGTAGGCCTTGCGCATCTCTCTTTCTGCATCCCTGAGCCCCTGCCATTCAATCCAGCCCTTTTGGAAGATTCCGGTGCTGGGAAACAGTGCCACGCCCGGGTGCACCAGCTCGTCCTCCACTGGATCCGAACCACCAGTCGCAGTCTCGGTTTCGCGCTTGCGGTACAGTCTAGGACTTACGCAAAGCGGGTCGAAAGCGCCTTCTCTGCAGGCTATCAGAGACGGGTTGGGCGCGTCCTCGACGTCAAACCCCACGCTGAATTCCTTCCATCCCTTGCCGCTGTCCGCAGACGGACTCATGTCGAAATAGACTGGCGAACGATCGCGCCGCCATTCTTGACTGAGCTCCATTGCCACAGTGAACACCTTCTTCAACTCGGTCCCAAAATCGGCCTTGTTCTTTTCGCCCAACAACGGTTCAAGAACCTGGACGACACGTACGTCAATCGCATCTCGGATCTTTTCTCCAACGTCCACTCCATTGTCAAGCCGATCCAAAACCTTCAGTGTGGAAATTTTCCAGTCATTCTGGATCTCTTCGCCGTCGGTAGCCAGTTGTGAGTATATATCGTTGATGAGGGATCTGTCCTTTCTGTTTTTCAAGAGATACCGAGAGAAGAACAGCGGCCACACAGTCTCACCAATGACGTTGAAAATGATGTTCTGCACATGGGCAAGTCGAAGAACCCGCGCACATTCCGACTGGGTAATTGGCACCGTGTCGAAAGCGCTCCGTTTATTCTTCAGTTGTTTATATGTACCAGCCGGATCCTGGACAAACAACGGATGAGAACGACAACCAGTAAAGTGCAGCAGGTCGGTTCATTAGGGAGATCAGTGCTGGGCTGGTAGAGCTTACATCTATTGCTTCTTCTGGTAGCTCCGAGAAGTATTCGTCGGCAATTGAAGCCACCGAGTCAACCAGCTCTTTGTATCGTTCCGCACTGTGGGTGATATCAGCTTGAGCCGGGGCAACAAGAACAGGAGGAAGAGAAGGGCACGATATCTTACTAGTGTTCCACGGGTAATCTCTGCACTTCGTACTTCGCCTTGACGCTGGCGAGCTCATATTTGAGATTCTGTATTTCTGCGTCGGCTTTGCTCTGCATCGTTTCGCGAGTTTCCCGTTCCCGGTCGCGCATCTTAGTCATCTCCTCGAGCTTTCGTTCGGTCGTTGTCTGCGTCTTCTCGAGTTCCTTGTTTTTGGCCTCTAGCTTGGCAATGTGTTCCTCGTTATCCTTCTCCAGCTGAGTTTTCTTCAGATCAAGACCTTTCTGTACTTCCTGTATGGCTCTTTCATGCTCCTTCCTCAGGGCTTTGATCAGTTCCTCGTACTTTTGCTTCTCTTGCTGGCCCGATGCTGCCTGTGATTTCAGCCCAGAGATCTCTTTCTCAAGTTGTATTCGTTCATTCCTTAGCTGCACTTGGTGAGACTGCTTCATTTTCCCCATTTTTCTTTCGAGCCAGTCATTTCGATCCTCTAGCTCCTGTACCTGTGCTTCAAGGTCTTGGCCTGCGCTGTACCGTTCATCGACGGTCTTGACCATTTCTCCATATTGGTTGAATGTTTCGGTGATCTTTTCAACCGCACTCTTGACAGCAGACATACCTCCATTCAGATTGTGCACCTGGAGATGGATCTTCTCGTTAAACAGACCAAAATCCACGCTCTCGAATTGCACGGGCCCCGAGTCATTGCTCTCGACTCCGTTCGGCAGTCCGTCAGACACCTTGTCCAACTTCCCGTTTGTGATTGCATGCATGCCTGACTCGGACATGGAAGCTGGGCGGACCTTGTGTTTCACAGTGGCCTTGAGTATGTTGCACGAGCACACGAACGATCAACCAACTCACCGGGAGCTTTTCTTTTTTTCTCGTGATTGAACGGACAATCTTGTCCACGTACGACTCAGTACTCGAGATCTCGCGGTCCAGGTGCCGGGAAAACCTCAAGTTAGGAACTTTGCGGGACATAGAGCACAGCGCGGGGCATTGTCAGTGGATAAAATGCTTTGAAGGAAAGAGCGGCTGATGCAGAGGGACGGAGCTATATTTTGGACCAGTCTCCTGAGATGCATCCTGACTCTCTCGCTCATAATCACATGGAAGTGGCAGTTGTTCGATAAACTGCATAAGGAAATCTTCTACGTGTCAGCGAGTGAGTGAAGGAACAACGACCAGACATCGACCAATGCCATTGAAGGTTCCCGTAGTGATACGATGATGTGCAGGGTTTCTTCACATTGCTGCGTCTCAGAATTTTGTGATTGGACACGTCTGCCTGAATTGTGAGGCGTAGTCGAGAACACATGGTCCGTGCCAACCATGCGAGATTCTGCATGGACCTATCAGCAGCTGAGGCAGGTCATTTTTTTTTCTGCTGAGCTCTTGATCCCCCATGTTTGGAGGCCAGAGCTGTTCTGCACGGATGAGTTGGCATCATCGTCGAGCCAAAGCGAGAACACCTCGAGTCCAGGATGCTGCATGAATCGTTATCTGGAAGATGTAGAGTTGAATGGGATTGGCGATAGAGGACGAGGCGTTTTAGCTAGAAGCTGCTGAGTCTCCGAACAGCCCGCAGACCGGGAACACGGCATGTCCTCTGCGGAACGGACCGCCAGCGGACCAAAGAGAGGGCCATAGGCAAATACAAGTAGGGTCTCGAGCCAACCATGGAGGCGAGGCTGGAGCAGCAAGCCAATCCAGCAACCTGCATATCTTTCCTCGTGGACTGAGAAGGGATGGAATAGATTTCCAATTCGACTTCGGTCTCGTTTATGTGTACGGAGCAAGACAGCTGATATCGTTGCCGAGGGTGTTCGACGTAAAGAATATAGCTTGTCTGGGGCGCACCTACCACTTTTCCGACAGTGAAATGCCTCCACAGTAGGTGCTCTTGGTAGCAACTGAACCGCCAATGATCACGACACTGCGTTCGAGTATGGTCAAACGTTGACTCGCAATGCACATACTGCTCTCTTCTCAGATCCCTCATTCACCAGCGCTAAGGCCAGAAGAGAGTCAGACTGCCGGAAAGAGCACTCATAGATGCCAAACCCGTAGATCAAGAACAATGAGAGCGTGGATGAGGCCGCCGCTCCTGATGCGCAAAGTCAGTTCGAACTGGCGCTTCTTTGGCCCCCAGTGGCAGTCCGGGGGACTTGGGGACTTGGGGACTTCAAGTTGCGAACTGGGTGTGCAGCCGATAAGCACCCTTATCGCCACGTGACAGGGGCTCGGCAACGTGACACGCTGGCGAACTTCGCAAAAGGGGCTGAGCATCGAGGCTGCCATCAGATCCATCCATCATCCATCATATCTGGCAACATCTTCCTCTTTGCCCTTATAATCCAGGTCTCGCCTCTCTTTACAAAAGCACATCACCGAAAAGATCAAACACGGGAGGCAACGTCTTGAAGACTGCATCTTCCTCCGGACTTGCCCTGTGCGACCCCATAACATCAAGTACCGGAAGCCACCTCTTCAACCTTCTGGCCGTCTTTACCAATTGGCCACCTTCAATCTCCTGCCAGCCAGCCCGTCATTGCCAGTATATTCGGCCTCTCTGTCGACCCCAAATCTCGACGACTTATTCAACAAACCTCATTATCCCAGCCCCTTCTATCTTTTTAGTTAGAAAACCCCACCACCTTCATCCAAGAAATGGTCAGTCTCCTCCCCCCTCTCACGATTCAAAACTCCATGGAGCCCAGCGCCGCTCACAAACATACTCTACCGACCAGGCTCAAACACCCGCGCAGCGCCGCGCCAACGAGAAACACGCCAAGGGCGTCGAAAAGCGCATGGGCAAGCCCGAGTCGGCGTACAAGAAGAAAGAAGCAAAGAGGTCGCCCGTGAGCATCGCCGCTGTTGGTTCGTGCTCACTTTTTTTCTTCTCCCTCTTCCCCATCTATCCTTTCCCGCCTGCTCTCCTCCCTCATTTTGGCAATTCTGCCTTCCCACCATATCCTTCCATCATCCCATCTCTCTCCCTCGGTCAGACGACGAGTGTCCTCGTCAACTTCAGGGATTCTTTCTTTCGTCCAAGCACATGTGAATACACCCAACCATCCATCCATTGAGTAGCGTCTGTCTTATCACGCTTCGTATCCACTGTCCTATCTATTCCCGTGGCAAAGCGTGGGCGCGCCTTGGCTGACCAGAAAAAAGGGCTGCTGATTTTCGTCATCGTCGCCCCCCTGCTCATCGAACAATTAAAGCTGATCCCCTATCTCTGGGGCCTACTACTGGATCTGCTGGCCAAGATAGGCCTGGTGTCGAAATAATAAAAAAAGTTCTTGGACGCCCCCTCCCTCCCCGGTAGCTTTTCGAGGGACTCTTCTTCCTCTCTCTCTCCTTCCTGGACCAAACTTTTCTCCCTCTCCTTTCCCCCTTTTGTCCAGATCAGAGAGGAAGGAAAAAGCGGCATGCCACAACACGCCGCAGAAGGCTTTTGGTGGTCAGCCATGGCAAGGAATGATCTGATGGGATAGATTGGATTGGGGTGGACGGGGCATTTCAGCCATTTCCCCCTTAAGTTGAACTGCTTGCGGCGAGGAATGGTAGGAACTGGGCCGGGGGAAAAGTTCCTGATTACATTACTAGCTGTGTCGCTAGAAGTTTGCTCTGTACTGTACACATTTGACGCTCTATGTGGACTGCTCCCGGAAATGATAATTTCGCTCAAATTTCCCAGCTCACCAACAAACGCGCTCTCGCACTATACTCTAACCTAGTACGGGATCCCGTTGGTGATTAATTGAAACTCATCGTACACCTTGGTCGTCACGTTCGCCGCGCTCTTCTTGATACAACCCAGCATAAACTCCGCAGCCTCCCTCTCGCTCTTGTCCAGCACGAATCTCTGCTTAAAGTTCCGCATCGTCTCGGGCTTGAAACACGGTAACCCGCTGTCCAGCATCAGACTTACCAAGTGGCTGAGCTTGTCGCAGTAGGGCCTGCTCGCGAGGAAGGCTTTGATGGTGAGCTCTTCGAACCAGCGGTATGGTTGACTAGTATGAGGGTCATCTCCGCCCATGACGGCGATCATTTCCGGCGTCAATTTAAAGGGTGCCCGTTCGAATTTGACTCCGCCGGGGGCAATGTCGAAGCAGAATCCAAAGTCAATGTGGAGGATGTGGCCCTTGTCGTCGATCATGATGTTTCCATTGTGGCGATCCTTGAATTGCAAGAGGTACGTGATGACAGAATATGCAGCCATGCTCTTCACGAATTCACTGCGAGCTTCCTGGTACCGCACCGAATGTTCGCCGCCGTATTTGGTGATGAAGTAATCATGCAGACCATTCACCGCTTCTCGGCCCAACATGTCGCGGCTGATAGAATTCGGAAGAACGTCGATGACGCCACAGCCGGGCGCCGTGGCGGTGACACGGTACGGAAAGACGTAGACGTCCAGACCTATAGAGTTGAAGATGCCCCGGAAAGCCGCAATCATCTGCAACGCGAGGACGTCTTGGCGACAATCATCGCCAACTTTGAAGATGGCGCTCTGCCAGACCTCGTAAGTCGCCCAATTCCCATCATTCAGTTCAACGTTGGAAATGTCACTGGTGTTTCTGCGGCTGTGACTTATTCTGGAGTTGGCGGTCTGGGTCTTCGGCGCTGATTCGATCAGCTCGCTTGTCTCCTCGTTGGAGGCGTCCTTCTTTTTGCGAATCCGGAAAGTTGCCATGTATGGTGCCTTAGCATGAGATTGCAACGGCTTCCCGGATTTCCTGTCAATACCAACCACAACGCCGTCAGGGTTGCTCGGAAGATAAACCCCAACGTCAACTTTGATTTTCCGAAGTTCTTCTTCGATCTTGGCCTTCTTTTCCGGCTTAGGCCTTTTGATAAAGGGCTTGAGCTTGCCCGAGATATCCGTCACTTCACTAAAGAATGCAAACTCCCGTTCGTAAAAGTCCTTGTCTTCGCCAGAGAACCCTGAAATCAGACTGTTCATGACTTTATCCAGTGTGGGCTTGACAGGATCTGGCACTTGTGAGTCCTCATCCTTGTATGCGTTGGCCTTCATGTTCCAAATAATCTGGTGGGCAAATAATTGTGAGAACTTGCCAGTCTCGATGATGTACCGCTCGACGTATCCTAGCGTATCGTACCGTAGGGCCTGTACAATTTGTGGGACATAGAAAAACGTAACATCGACAGAATGGCTCTCCACAGCTCTCATCGCGTACTGGATGATGAATGGATGGTTTCCAAAAGCAGGCATGAAGTATGTTACGGCTTGAACAGGGTTGACCGGCCGCCAGTACAGGAGATACTTCAACTGGAAGGACAGGTCTGACGACAAAGTATCTCCAAGCAACAAATCGACTGCATTCGCTTCGTGCAAGGCTTTCTCCGGCTGATTCATAAGTAGGAATCGGACGTCGCGGCGAAGCTGGTCATTGTTGAACCGTGCGAGAAGCTGTACAGCGAGCGCTGGATCCTCTGCCCATGCGGTTCGAACAAGGCCGGCAACATGAGAGTCCGGCTGACTCTGGTGTCCCGAATGACCAAGAGGCGATAGCCAAACGTTTAACCGGTTGATTTCGTTCAGGAGGAGAGCTTCCAACAGCTCCTGTTTCTGCTGAGGGTCTTTTCTGGTCGCCGACGCTGGGAAGATGGGTGTTCGAGTTCCTTGCAACAAGGCTAGAACATCTTGCATAACTTGGACTTCAGCTAATAATTGTAACCGATTACCGCCAAAAGACCAGAATGGCGGCTTAGCAAACCACTGCAGACCGACGGATAGAATAAGATCTTTTAATTTCCACATGGACAACTTGTTGAGACAAGTACTGTTTTTGACGACTCGGAGAGCAAAGAGGACCGTGTGAAATTGTATGTCGCGCAAAAGAGGATGGCCCTTGATGTGGATAAAGCCAAGAAGAGTTCGCTCAAGCAGTCGGATAAACGTGCGTTGAGTATTGGCGCTTCCAAGTCTGATGGCATTAAAATGACTCTCGAAAAACTGCATCAGCCGGAAATGGGGGGCAATGGTGTTGTGCGCCGCTTGCGCTTCCTTATGCAGGGCGGCTCTGTCGGATGGTGCGAACTCTTCTTTGACATAAAAGGGATCCGGTTGCTCGAATTTGGGACTGAAGATGCCGACTTTTCGATCAATCGTCCTTTCCCAGGCCTGCGCAACTTCTGTCAAGATCCGGGCTTCCATCCTGGTATTCTCATGAATGACCCCAAGCCACAAAGAAATCCCAAGTTTAATGGATTCTTTCGTGAAAATGGCGAAAGGAATATTGACCAGATAGTGAACGATAGCTGTCTGCGACTTCTTGCTTTGGCAGAGGAGAGCCGCTGCGCGTCGGAGAACATCCTTGACTTCAAATGCTTTGACGTGAACCTTCCGACTTGTTCTTTTGTGAAGGTCGAGGAGTGCATCTTGCAAAACAGGCATTGGATCAGTAGAGGGCCTCTGCAGTGAAGATCTTCGTCCAGTCGTGTCGTCCATGTAGACATTGTCGCGGTGGTGGTCCGGGATACCGGTGAATCGATATTCTTGTCGAGCGGTATATTGGGCTACAAAATCAGACGCCATGTTGATGTCTGTCGAATCGTTTCTTCGGTCAATGGCGTTGAGTCTACGATCTGTTGGAGGGATCATGGAGCCCATCTCCAGAGCGAAAGATCTGCCCAATGAAATATGGCCGTATCCCCCAGTATCATCGAATTCAGATAGATATGTCTGAAGGAGGCCCTTGATATCCAAAGGTGCCACTCCCATCACCATGGTCACCCACTTTCTGGCGTCACTATGCAGGGCTTGCAGAGTGCGCTTGCGGAAAGCGTAGTCGTCAGACAACTCAACCGTTATCTTGCCTCTGGTAGAGGTGAGGGTGGACCGCCATTCGTACTCGTCAGTATCGGCATCGAGACAACTGGACCACATTAATGAGAGGAGCTCCAGCAAAGCGAACAACGCAGACTTCTGACACAAGGCAGAAGGCACAAAGCTGATGATGTGGTTGGCTGCCGCCCTTGCGACCTCTTGCATCTTGCTGCTACGGTGGCAGCAGCCACTCAAAATCCGAGCTAGTTGTCGAGACACGTAGGGTGCGCTGAAGTCGTCATCCTTCCCAGCTACAGCTTTTTGGGTGTACCTTTTCACAACCTCGTTCGCAATGGAGCCAAGGCATGTTCCCATATGGCTAGTTTGCGTAGTCGGGTCCGAGAAATAGTCCAGAATCTCCGCACAGCTCCCGGACACAGCCCGGAGACTTTCGACCAGAAATACAGCATTTAAAAACACTACCTTCTGGTAACTCAACTTGCCGATGTCAGATTCTCGGTCTGGGATAGCGAAAAGCAGAGCTTTCTTTTGATCGTTCATATGATGAGAGTTCATTCCTCTCCGTAGGACTGTGTTGATCTCCACGTCTGATTCCAGAAGCTCGGCACGGTCATCATCCACGAGGGGCAACGAGTTCATCGCCAACACTCGCAAATCATGGTAATGTTGCTGGCCGATGCGGGACTGGAGTGTGATACCGTGTACGGCCACATTGTACCAAACCTCTCTAACCATGCTTAGCACATCGCCGTCTTCGGCAAGTGTGCTCTCGATCGTCAGAGCGGGTTTTCGAGAAGCGAGAATAGACAGAGGCTTGAGAAGAGGTGCTATCTCCTTCGCGGCTTGTTCGACTTCCGCAGACTGTTTGAATTCTCCTTCAACGACATCCCCCTTGCTGAGGACTCGTTCCAGCAGCTGCATCGCATAGATCTTGAATAGTGGCGAGCGGTTGTCCAAGTTGATTGCAATATATTCTTGTCCATTGTGGACAGATTGTAAAATAGTGGCATTTTCCTGGACGACAGCCTCGTGATGCAGTCGAGTGTAGAGTCTGAGCAAGGCCTTGAACTCGTTTTCCTTGCCAATAATGGCAAGCTTTGCGGCTTCTTCAATAATACGAGCGTCAACCACGACGCTGATTCTCCCAACCTTTTGCAGCATCATCATCTGTGCCAGAGCAATGATTTTGCTGTCGTTGCATTCGGTGGCCAAGACGACGATTGCATCTGCAACATTTCCACAGACCAGTGATGTTTCTTCGTCGCCACTCAAGGAGAGTGATATGACGCTTCCAGTGCGTAGTCTCGTCGTAGAAGACATGGAACCATTTTGGCCACTGATGTCCAACGTCCCGTGAGCCTGGTGAACCTTTTCGGCTCCTGTCTGCGAACTCAGAACATTCCCCAGTGAATATATCGTTGTGATGACAGCATCATGTGACAGCATCCTCAAAATATGCGACAGGCTTTGCGCAGCGACGGCAACTGCTGGTGGTCTCGAGGTGCCTCGGACAATAAATCTTAACAGGATCCGGGCGTAGTTGTTGGCACCCTCAGGGATATGTTTGGCCACAACGGCCATGCTTTTCAGTACTATGTCCGCAAGGTCAATATCTGCCATCTGGACTTGGTTGGCAATCGAATCCTCAAGCCATCCGGCCAGGTCCTCAGCATCAGCAATTTCATCGTCAAGAACCAAGCAATGCAAGTATGCTTCCACGGCGTATGCCTTGACAGAAAAGGCAAGACGCTGTTGCCAGACGGAGCTGAGCTGTAGGTAATCCGAGCCATCCTCCAGTACGCGCATCTGCTCACTGACAATGTCCACCAGATACTCCACCATGTCATCAGTAATACCGTCATCTTTGACTCGATTTAGATGAGTGCCGGCGATGTATTGATCGAGTATGTCTCCGCATTCTACTGCGTGCTCCCCGCATGACATTCTCGCTGAGCATGCAAGGACCAGTTTCATGAAGCCCTTTTGCAGCAACATAGCTCCGACAGGAAGCCCCTGCGCGGCGAATCTCTTGAGGTATTTTCGCCAATCTCGTTCGGCGGCATCGGGCGAGGTGGAGTTTCGGATAGCCGACGAAGCAGTCTCAACGGCTATCAGGAATCGCTCTGACAAAGCTTCTTTCAAGCACCGAGTAAGTTCGACTGTCTCGTAGGGGGACCAGAAACTCCCATGGGCGGCCGCCGCATCGAGGAATCCGATCAACGACACCGTTATCGCTGCAATCTCTTGAGTTTCGTCCTCGTTTGCATTCTGCTCACCAACCCCCACAGCGGCCAGTGCCGAAGCAGACTTGGACCAGTTCTGCGTATACGACGTGATGCTGTATGCGACTGCATCTTTCAACGGGGGAAACCTGAGCCCGAGGACGAGAAGCGCCTTTGTGAGTTGAAACGTGAGGGCCGTCCATGGGGCGGGCCTGATTTCTTGAATGAAGGGCGAAGATGAGAACACCTGTAGGTGTGACTCGGGCAGGTAAGCAGTCAACTGTTTGACTAAACGGTCGGCATGAGACAGCTCGTGCAAATCATGTGCACTCGTGCACAACGCGAGCAAGACATCGAGTTCGCGGGGCGACATGGGCACCCTCGAAGTGGGTGCGATAGCTCGAAGGACTCCATCAAGAACACCGCCGTTCCCTTGAGACTTGGTGGATGGTGCCGACGAGGTGAGACGCTTGAATTCTGCCTCGCGCGTCGAGGACCGGATGGAGGAGAGGGCCGCGAGTTTGGAGAAGGCCTGTCGGCGCAGGCCTCCATGGCCGCTGAGATAACGTCAGTCCAAACACAGAACGTAGACATTAGGAGAATGGGAAATATACAGGTCCATCTGGCCCGATATTCAGGCGCCGTCGCGCAGGTCTGGAGGACAATCCGCCCTGGGCTGCGTCAAGACTGCGCATTGACGAACTTCAAAGATCAGAACAGGAATTATGATGATGCGGGAATCTTGGTACTAGTCTTTCACGTGACAATTACCCCATCGAGCACCCAGGCCGTGCCGCTTTTAAGATCTGAGATAGCTTGTATTACTGATCCACTCTGTCGCTCACGCTTCCTCCTGAGCCTCATCCTGTTCAGGGGTGGCGGTGGAAATATATCGTCGATTATATAAAGGGCTGGACAAAAACCAGCATACATGTAAAACACCGGCTTAGACACCAAACGGTCCCCCACAAAGTCCACGACACGCTCCCTTTATTTTCTCCGCTCAGCAAAGCCCTTGTCGGGAAACAATCCAGCGAGGGTCTCCCTCATCGCGTGCTGAATATCCTGCAACTCCTGCTCGTCGGTGGTGGCGACGTCGTCGTTGAGGCACATTTGTCCGGGGAGCTGCTTGTGTTCCTTGACGTAGTGGCGGTAGAGGGTGCTGTCGATTTGGTCGGCGTCGGTGACCATGACGAACAGCGTGTCGCCCGGGTCGACCTCGATGAACTTGTAGCGCATGGCGCCCTTGACGACGAGCTCGCGGTCAGCGGCCTGCGTGTCCGCGTGCGGCAGCAAGGGGCTCAGACCCGAGGGTGTCTGCTGCAGGAGGCCCTTGAGCAGGCAGTCGCCGCAATGAGGGTTCTGGCGCGCCAGCCGGTCGAAAATGACAGCGGCGCTGAAGGTCGGGTTTGTATGGGATGTGTTCGAGTTGTCGGTCAGGAACCCTAGGGCTAGGCAGTTGTCGAGGGCGAACTCGGCGCAGTCGACGTTGCGGATGGCGTGGGGCCCGTCGAGCGACGTCCATAGCGAGTTGGTGTTGACCTGCGGCGCGCGGAGCCCGGCCTCCTCGAGCATCGACGGCACGTGGTAGAAGATCTTGCGCCGGAAAGCCGCCTTTTCGGCATTCTTGTGGCCCCTTTTCAGCTCGGCCGCGATCGTTTGCCGTTCTTCCCACGACAAGATCCCGTCGCGGTCCACGTCGCTGCGCAGCATAATATAGCTCCACAGGAGCAGTTCGCGGTGCCGCTCAATTATGTAGTGGTTCGTCACGTACCACGAGTACAGCTGGAAGCCCGGCTCGCCACGGAACCGCTTGCAGGCACTCTGGATCTCGGACCGGGGAAAGGCCTCGATGGCCTCCCGCATGATGCTTCTGGAGAGAGAATGTCCAAAGTGGCTCTGGCCCTTGCGTTTTCTGACCCCGAACCGACGGTTCAAGAGCCACGAGGTGTAGATCAGATACGGCTGCCAAAAAAGAAAATGTCAACAAAACCACCCCGTGAGCAAAGGAATTTAAGGTCCTGAAAAACACAAACCTTTTCACCAAAACGGTGTGCGTCGGCTTCGGTCGGTGCCGACGTGGTGCTGTAGCCGTTGGTCTTGAAGCTCATAACCGCGCCGAACAGGGGCGAGTAGATGTCCGCAGGCGCGTGCTCTCGCGTCAGCAACATGTCATCGGACATGGCAAAGAACTGGGAGTGTAGACAGTGTCAGTGTCGGTGCACGCATATGGGACGATGGCCCCAATCCCTCTGGGCTCGGGCGGGGGGCTTTAAACTTCTCAACATACGTACCTGGTCAACTTCCGACTTGGTATTGAAGATCTGGTTCTCGATCGTCAGCGAGTTGAACGCAGGCAAGCACACTTTCTTGTCGTTCTCGAACATCTCCTCTTGAGAGATGACCTGGACAAGCTTGGATACCAGCGGGTCGTCGAACGCAAGCCAGGTGGGGGCCTGTTTCCGGACTGGGGTACCGTTCTTGTAAATGGAGTTTACGAGGACTTTGATCGTGTTCATGAAATGGCCCGCGTTCTTCTCGATGCTGCGGAACGAATAGCGCAGTTCGTCCCAGTCCCGATATCGGTTCACCCCGTGCGAGTTGATCCATTCCCCTTCGGCGTCGTTCAGGATCGACCGCTCTTCCCACGGTCTGATGGTCTGTTGAAAGTCGCTTTCTGATCCGTTCACCCCTGCATGTCAAGTTAGCCCCCCAAACAGCAATGGCCGCTCCAAAAGGACAGCCCATATGTGACGCAGCTCATACATAGATAGACAAAATCGATCTTGGGCTCTTCCAACTTCCCCCATTTCTCGACGTCGTACGTCCCCGAACTCACCCATTCGTCTTCCCAGCCTTGGAGGACCTCGTTCTTGACGGCTTCTTCGAATGGCACCCAGACGAACTCCGGAAGAGATTCTGCCCTCTTCTCTAGAGACAAGTGCTGTTCCGTCTCGTTGGATTCGTCTTCGACGAGTGGCTCTTTCGACGACGTGTCGGGCGCAGGCACTTCTATCCCAGGATCCATGAGATTTGGTACGTTTTTGTGGCTAGGATCTCCATCGGTTGGCCCGTTGTTTTGCAAAGATGGCGGGTCCGGGATTGGATCTTTCGAAGACGTGTATGGCGCAGGCACTTCTAGTCCAACATCCATGAGATCTGGTACAGGATTTTGGCTAGGGTCTTCGTCGGTTGCGAGGTTGATTTGCAGAGGTGGCGGGTCCGGGATTGGATCTTCGATGTCTTTGGCGGATTGTTCATCCTTTGTAGGCTGCGAGGCTTTGCTTTCGGTTGCCAGGTTAATTTGCACAGGTGACGAGTCTGGGATTGGATCTTGGATGTCTTGGGCGGATTGTTCATCCTTTGTAGGCGGTGAGGCTTTGCTTTCGGTTGCCAGGTTGATTTGCACAGGTGACGAGTCTGGGATTGGATCTTCGACGTCTTGGGCGGATTGCTCATCCTCTGTAGGCCGCGAGGCTCCGCCTTCGTCTTCGAGGGATAGGCTCGTGTCAACATCCGGTGAGATAGAGCCGTCTGAGGTACTGTCGACAGCGATCGGCGATTGTTGCACATGCTTGAGCTGCTGCTTTGGGCCACCAAACCTCCTCTGAAGACTGGCTTTGTAGCTGTTGCTGTGCCGATAGTCTATCGAGCTGCGACACGAGGCCAGGACAACCGTGGCTCCGATGAGGACGACGAACAGCAACAGCATGCTTGATCGCGAGCCTTTTCTCCGCCACATCGGCCTTTTCACCGTCACCCAAAGAGGCATTCCCTGGTCATTGACTCCTCCGTAAGGATAGTACATTTAGACTCCTGGCGAACCGGTTTCCGCGACGATTGTGCTGGTCCTCAAATCCCCCACCCACGACTTTCAACCATAACCTGGAAGGCGATAAATCCAAAATCCAACTCAGAAGAAAGCGCACCTAGTGTTTCGACGTGTTGAGGCATCTAGCCAGGCTCGCTCAGAGGGAAGGAGCTGGCGTTGAGAGACAGATGTTGTGGTGCTTCCTCGATGGCCAGGTCTGGATATGCCGAGTCCGGTGTATGCCGTGCTGCCGCGAGAGAGCGCGCTGAGTATACATAAGCCGACTCCCGAATCACACGATAAATGTCCCGATAAGCCATAGCTCCCGGGAGTGAAATTGGTGGAATGTGAAACCTGTCGTACCTTGGGTTGGGGGGGTGGACGAGGCGCGGAGAGAAGGGGGATAAGATAAGGGGGATGAAGGTTGTTTCGCTAGGGCTATGTATGGGCTTGTTACCTCTTGTCATTTCAACACTCCCTCCGTCGCTGAGGTCCGAAGTCCAGAACGTGGCAGATGGATGCAATCCGGGCACAGGTCAAGAAACGACAGCCTTGCCTTGGGTCAGGGTGCTTGGGGACAAATTTGGGCGGCGCCACTCGGCTTCTTTCCGGCCAAGGATCGACACATTGGGTGCAGGGTTCCAGAAAGTCTATGATTCTTTAACTGCCGAGTGATCGACATATATATGCGAGGCCTTAGGGAGAAGAAAGTCTATGATCCTTTATCTTCCGATGTCTCTTTTTCCGGGTTACTCTATCGGATGTTCTCTTTTAGGAAATGCATACCCCGCAGTGTTTTTCTATGAGCGCGTCAAACCACGCTATTCTTCAAAGATGCTTGGCCCGGAGAAGGCGGACAGGATATCAGTCTTACTTGAACCTTTGCTATTGGCTCCGAGAGAGCCATGCTTGGAGGGGCGCTGGCCCTGACGAGCTGTACACAGGAGGTTCTCAGGAGTCATGCTTCAGTCGGAGAGACTCTTCCACAATCTATCTAGCTGTCCTTGCTGGGACAATGTTTGATTGGATCACGGCGACAGGACGAAGAAAGACTCCCTCGTGTGAAGCTCGTGAAGGTTGATGGCGTCTAGACTCTGGAAATGAGTGTACGGGTACGCCCCAAAGACGTCCCTGAGTGAGATTAGCACAGGACAACCTCATATACCTACGCCCTGGCTGTTTGTCACTTGTCGAGAGGGTGATTCACTCTGGTCAGGGCTCTTCTATTGTTCTCATTCCAGAAAGCGTGCAAGCTAATGACTATGTCCTCGAACTTGTACACCAAATTAGCGAACGAGCCGTTCTCGATAAGTGTGGATTGCCATCCCCTTGAGCCTCTCGACGCTGGTAAGTACATATCTGATGGCAAGTCAAAGTGCGGAGTGAGGAAGGAAACTAATGAGCATTTACTAGCCAAGCCGGAGATGGATCAAGACGGCCTGGAAAAGCAAGCCGTGACCGAGGAGTCTTCGGCCAAATCGATGAAGATTCCACGATGGGCTTTGAGCGATCCCAAGACGCTCTTTAGCACCAATATCAGCGAAAAGGACGCCGTCAACTGTCTCTGCGTCGTGCTTAACACCGTGTCCACGGTGTCCATCGTCTTTGCGAACAAGATGTAAGTACTGTTTCCTGAAGCCCTTGCTGCTAGTAGACATTGATTGGGGGTGGATGGCTAACTATTCCCCCCAGAGTCTTTACCGATCCCCAATTCCGCAAGTTCCAGATCGGCACCGCAGCATGGCACTTCACGGCGACGACGGTACTGCTGTACCTTTCGACCCTGCAGCCATTTCACTTCTTCAAGCCGGTGCGGCTGGCTGTGCGAGACATCCTGCCCCTGTCGACCTTGTTTGTCGGGTTCCTGGTACTGGGGAACCTATCGCTCGCGCTTAACACGGTCTCGTTCTACCAACTGGCCAAGATCATGACCACGCCGACCGTGGTGGCCATCAACTTTGTGCTGTTCCGCAAGGTGCTTCCAACGCCGTTGCTGCTGGCCATATTGGTTTCGTGCCTGGGCGTGGCCTTGACCAACGTCGCGATGGTCACGTCGAACCCGACGGGCACGTTGGTTGCCGTCGCAGCCTTCGTCACCACGGCCTTCTACCAGATCTGGATTGGCAAGAAGGTGGCAGAACTCGACATCGGTGCCCCCGCGCTGCTGCTGAACCAGGCGCCGCTCTCGGTGATTATGCTCCTGTGTCTGCTCCCGTTCACCGACACAATCCCAGACTTTCGGACTGTCGACCCCAAGATCCTGGCCACCTTCTTGTTCTCGGGCGTCCTGGCCGCGGGGCTCAACCTGAGCCAGTTCCTCATCATCGGGCGCGTGTCGGCCATCGCCTTCAACGTCGTCTCCAACGCCAAGAACGTCATTATCATTGCCCTAGGCTGGTACACGGCCGGCCAGGCCCCGTCGGTGAAGGACGTTGTGGGCGTCATGCTGGCCCTGGGTGGAGCGGGTGCGTATTCGTGGCTGCAACGAAAATGAATTTGGATGTCTTCATGCTTTGAAAGTTTGCGTGGCCACGACATGGAGCAAGAAGTGTTATCATTAGAGGATATCACTGCATATGGGAGACATCTGGCAAGATATCTTATTATTAAAAGAGAACAACCGAACAACCCATGTGGGAGACATGTGACAAGATATGTTCATTTATATTGCCATTTACTTTCAGTCAGAAAAGAAACGGACGGAATATCAATATCTGGCTACTCGTGAGCGCATTATTAGGCACTACAAAAGATATATGCTAGGCTTATCAGACGATTCCTAACAGTATATTGGGATAGATAAATTAAAATTTTGTATTTATTGTGACCGTGGACACTGAAAACCCGGAGTAGAAAAGTCCAGGCAGTATTAGAGATGGATCAAGGCCGCAAGGAATCCACGCCGAGCAAGATTTCGACGCCCGTAAACCATTTTCCAAGTAAAGCAAAATGCCCTGAGCACACTCTACCAGGGGTGTTTGAACCTCACACCTTCAAATTCTAAGGATGGTTCTCTGCCTCGACATTCTTCTCCTTCGGCTGGCTCTTTTGCTCCTGGCTCTTCTGTTCCTGGCTCTTCTGTTCCTGGCTCTTCTGCTCCTGGCTCTTCTGCTCCTGGCTCTTTTGCTGCTGGCTGTAAGACTCCCAAAATTGGGATATCTCACTCACCAGCTCGGGCATCTGATCGACCTCCTTGACCCACTCGGACTCGTCTTTCTCGTAGGCTTGCACGAAGGACTTGATCCTCTGCACCTTGGTGGCTCCCGACCCCGCGAAATGTAGTAGAAGATCTGTCATTCCGTCAGCATGAAATCTTCAAAAGACATGCCAGAGACTGATTTGCTTACCGCCAGGCCTCACGCCGTTGGGATGCTCCTTCTTTGCTGGAATTGGCACTCCATGGTCGTCCCGCGCGCCCATGTACGCGTTCAACCAGCGCTGCGGGATCTCGGCGTAACCGTCGAGATAGGTCGTGCCGTCCCAAGGGCGATATACTCCTCCCTCATGTACAACATGCTCAATGGCGGATTGTTCCGAGTAGCGTAGGTCCACTGTTGGTCGGAAGGTCTCGACGCTGAGCGATGATGCCAGCAGGTGGACGGAGTAGTCGTTGATCCTAAGTAGAAAAGCACCGTCGTTGAGCCCATTGTGGTCGTTGCCGCAGAGAAAATTGACCCCCGACACATCCGGGGGCGGTAGATAGATTTCCAAGGGAATCTTGGGGTTGAGAAGAAATGTGTCGGCGTCGAACCAGAATAACCACTCTAGCCTCTCTTTAGGCGGTTTTGCCAACTCCTCCAGCACCACGCCCAGGATCCAGGCAGGTTTCGTCCACAGGCGTCCAAGTATCTTCTGACGCAGGACGTACATGGGATAGCCGTGCATGTCGGCATGCCGGGAATGGGACTCCAGAGCTCGCTCGTAGGCCTCACTGTAAGTGTCACCATATAGCATGGTGATTTTGGCAATCTTGGGCCGCGGCTTATTGTCGTTATTCGCCTCCTCGAGGACAGGAGTCTTGGGCTCATCTTGTCGTGTGCTCGAATCCTTAAGCTCTCCGACGTCCTGGTCCTGGGTGGTTGTAGCTTGTTCGACGAATTGTCTCGAGTACGCGCGGAAGGCAGATAGGTCTGTCCATGCGGATCGAGGGCCGGCCTTACGACCAAAGTGCGAGAGACCTAACTGAAAGACGAAAATCCCCAACAGCATCGCCAAAGCGATTTGGAACTTCTTCGCCATCTAGGCCAACGAACGTGCAGAGCGGAAGACCACTATGGTGCTCAAAACTTCAGGTAGAGTGGTCGACGGTTATCGGGCCTTGCTATTGCAGACGAGGAGAATCGAGAGAAATAAGGTGCCAATTCCCAAGCTCAGTGCAATCCTCAATCCATTCATGGTTAAAGGAGGAAAGACGGACCTGGTCGCGACACGCATCCAAGCTTTACGTGGCACAACCTTCTCGTCGTGTGCGCTCCCGAGCTGGTCAGTCCGGGGTTAGTGGATGCTCTCAGGCCAAGCAATATGGGAGATAGGGGGCACGATACCTCGATGGCCATAACTGCATCGATGCATCGACTAGTCCATTGATGTGGTGTATGGGTTGCTCGAAGGAGATGTCGAGGAATCAAGGGGTATTGGGCGCCCGATACAGTCAATCCAGTTCGCCGGTTACCGCCGTGGCGGTCATCACAAGAGGCCAAATACCAAATGCAGGGTGCAGAGTAACGCGATCTTCATTACCTCTACAAGATGTTGTCTCCGCAAGAGCCGTCGTAGGAACCTTAGAAGCATATCCACATGTTGTAATGACGATTGATCTCTCCGGTATATGACAGCTTCGGAAGTCACCCCATCTTTCAGCGCGGGGTCGAAGTGGCCGGAGGGTATGAACCGACGCCAAACCGACGCCCAAAGTCGTATTTCGTCCTGGTGGTGCCACTAGATGCTCTTCTTGTGGCTACATGATAATTGCTTCTCTGCTTCTATACGTAAAAGGCTCAAAAAGAAGCAGAACGCCTTGGGGTTAGGGTTGGCGTTAGAGGGCGATCGCCAGCCACCTTCCGCCATCGGACATTGGCCTCCCTTTCCCCTGCAGGTCTAGCCTTATGGTTTGTACCAGTCTATATTAGCCAAAAGCTCAAGACTTAATCTGCAATCCCTCCAGCTCATTCGGGCGGACAGTGAACCCGTGTAAATCTTCGAAGAGGGGTTGTCTGATCCCTTGAATGCTTATCTGTATACCTTGCCATCTGGGCATTTCTCGGAAAGCCTAGCCATGCCGAGAGGCACACAATGAGGTACGGACCGACGAACACGAGATTTACACTCAAACCTGTCTCAGAGCACACATGTCCACTTTCACACCCTGAGAAGGTATGGGAGATCTCGTGTTTCTCGGCAGGCTACTGCTGCGCGGCTCCCACCCGCACCCGGCCGAAATCGATGGGCTTGTAGTCCATAATAGTTAGGGGGTCATCGCCTGCTTGCTCGTATGCTCGGATTCGTTTGTCTCCCAGAGCCTTGATATGACCTTGGTTTTGTTTCGTTCAGGTTTTCACTCGAGGACATTTTTTGGGAAGTTGTGCCCTACCTTGCTTTTTTGTATTCTGCGGCGGGTTGTGCTTTATTCCTAAAGTCCTGTGTCGATGGCTGAGAAGACGGCTTCAGGGAGCCAACTTCCCGTGTTGGAGTGCCCGTCGTCGTCAGGGTCCGAGCTGCCGTCACCGCTCGAATTCATCTTGAGCATTGGCAGGCGCAAGGTGGTGGTTCGGTCGATTTTATGTGCATGCCTATTGATCTTGTTCCTGAAGTACTCTGGGTTGCCTTCAATAGTTACAGGGTACCCTAGTGGACGCAATCACATCGACCACGTCTACAACACCACTCTGGGATTTCAGAGAGTCTTTGTCATCAATCTCCCACAGCGGACTGACAAGAAGGACCTGACCACCATGGCCTCCTCATTCGCAGGCTTCGAGGTTGACTATATTCCTGGCGTCAAGGCAGAGGATGTCAGCGAGAAAGCTGCGCCGTCGGTATGCAACAGCTCTCTCTGTTATCTCCACCGTATATCGTTGCTCGAGAGCTGACTTTTGAACATTAGAATTGGGACCATGATGCCCAGAACCCGGGCGTACTCGGATGCTGGAGAGCTCACATGAATATTCTCCAGAAGATCGTTGCCGAACGGATCCAGACGGCTATGATCATCGAAGACGATGCGGATTGGTCTCCCTTCATCAAGGACCAACTGTTCGAGCTTGCAACAGGGGCTCGTGCGTTGCAGAAGTCTTCAGACTCGGTGCCGTCGCCGTATGGCCATGACTGGCACTTGCTCTGGCTGGGCCACAACCGGATTGGGCCAACGGACCAGGATCAAAACATCTGGGTTATTGATCACGACTTCACAGTCCCTCCTCTGCAACATCGCAATTCACGATGGCGGCAGTCGCACGTTCCGGAAGACGCGCTACGGAACGACACGCGGCTGCTCTTCAAGGCGTATGCTGGCATGTGCTTGTACGGGTACGCCGTCACCTATGACGGCGCTCGCAAGATGTTGTCGTCAATATCGGTCCAACCTCGCAACCAGCCGGTGGATCAGAGCGTGTCGGACATGTGCCGTGGCAAAATGGCCCAGGGTTTCGAATGTTATGGCATATGGCCGCCCCTGATATCAACCCATCGCTCTGCAGGATACAAGTCTCAGGATTCCGACATCAACATCAATGCAAAGGTTGGCTGGCATCAGGAATATACTTTCGACATTCCCTTCAGTACCACGATCAATATTCCCAGGCTGGCCGATGGCGCCACGTCCGTCTTGTCGCAATGGCCCGACACGGATGTCCAAGAAGCCCCGATCAACCCGGAAATTCGACGGCGTTCTCAGGGGTATCTGAAGAATATCAACTTTGGAGCTCTTCCAATACGGGATGCGTCGATCACGATATGAGACCCCAGTTCTGTAGAAACCACCAAGGGGGTCAAAGCCACTCAGCTTCCGCGACCTCCCCAACAATTGGAGCGTCTTGCAGCCTCATCGTTGTGGGAGGAGTCTGACCTTTCTGGATCAGATCGCTGCATTCACTCAGAAATCAAGGCGGTTTCCGACACTCGCAGCACCTCTAAAGTCTCGAAGAGTGTCCGTTGGAGGAAATGTGACCAGTATCGAATGCCATTTTGATGATTTCAGCACTCCTATAGACATATCTATCGAATGTCCTTTCTGCTCCTTTTTCAGGGTACAATAGAGCTCTTTCTGATAGATTTGTCGTGATCTCACAGCGCCGAACGGGGAGTGGAGTTCTTAGTCCGTGTCTGAGGGATCAGCATCATGCAAGAGCTGGTGTATGTGCACTCGAACAAGGTTGAAAGAGACATTGTCCTCCGTATCTTCCTTGTCAGGGTCTTCTTCCCCGGCCGGTGCCTTGCAAATAACAAACGCGTACTGGGGTTCCGGATGCTGCAAGAGTCCCTTTTGGAACCACAACCCTCATCAAGCGATGTCCTGTGTAAAACGCAGTGGTGCTTGAGAGATCTAGCGCCGTGAGCTATAAAGCAGGGTAAAGAGACACCGAACTCCGAAGACTCCGAACAACACCGAAGGTCTCCGAGGCCCGCGATTGACAAACTCCCGCGGCCACAACATCCATTGACGGAGGTGAAGCAGTGCCGTGGCGGCAATGGTCAACTTGGTCAAAGGTCAATCAGCAATGGTTGCAGAGACTGTGGCCACAGAGCAATCTGCCAAGAACGTCGCGGTTGGGCTCGAAATGACATTCGTTCTAAGAATGAATGTGTGGTCCCGGCACAGGATGGGAGGAGAGGTAAGTCGCCCCAAGTCGCGTCTGATTAAGATTCGGCAAAGCAGATTCGGTTTACCCGTAGACCAGACACGGCCTGGCACGGATAGAGCGGGAAGGAGAAAGGAAAGGAGGAGTTGAGAAGGGACCACGAACAAATTCCCCAGACTTGGGGTTGGCAGCTGCAGTGATGTTCAGGGCGCCTTGCCACGAAACTTTCTTCCAACCCTAAAATGAGTTTGCGTCTACATACGAGATTGGAGCTCGAAGCGAACAAATTACTTAGTCGCTTGGCCAGCCTCTTCACAAGAATTCCCCAGCCATGTTTACTAGAGAATGTACCGAGTGCATTGAACACATACTCATGAACACCTGAGACATCGGATGAAATTGATTGGCTTTATCATTAAAAGTAACTCTAAGTACGTAAAGGTATGTAACCGCCCTGATCAGGAGCTTTTGGGTAAGCCGAAAAGGGGAGAGAGGACAATATATTAGAGAGACGATCTTGGCTGGGCTGCGGCTGCGGCTGCGGCTGCGGTGCCAGGCCAGGGAATATCGCCCCTCGACAGTTCCATGGGAAGAGCCGGAAATATGCGTGTAGAGAATCTTCATCAAGGTCGTGGAAAGAAAATGAATGATCTCGCGCCACCAGAGCCCGAACCCCCATCAGTCCACAATGTCGCCGTCCATGTCGAATTCAAACGATCGCTTCTGCTCATTTGGGTCGGTCCCTTCGTTATCGGGCTGGTCGTTGTCGCTAGATGGATCGGGTGCGGAAGGTCTTGTAGTGGTCGCGGCTTGAGTAGGTGCAGGTGGCGGAAAGTCTCCCTGGCGACGGCTGGTTGGTACGGGTGGGTGGGCAAAGGGAGTTGTGGTGAAGGGTGTCGCGAAGGGTGTCGCGGACACTCTTGCCGCCTCTACTCGGTGTGCAAACCATGCCGGCACACTTCGAGGGGTGAGGGCGGCGGTCACTGTTGGGATGGCAGAGTATTGAGGTTTGTCGCCAGCCTTGTTTTGGCGAGGTGGTAGTGATCTGGGTGCGGGACCGGCTCCTGTTTGTTGCGTTAGGAACTATTTTGTGTTGGAAGGGTCAAGGGTGAATCCCGAATACTTACGCTGTCTTAGTGACAAGCCAATGTCCTGGCATGCAAAAGGGGGCTTTCCATTACCCTGGAGGAAGAGGGATCCGTCCTCGCTCTGACAAAAGACTGCCTGGCCACCCTCGCCATAGGAAATCCCTTGTCCTTGAACATGAAGCCAACCGTCTTGGCCCTGCAAGAAGTTGTAATTCCCTGAGCTGGGACGATCGTCGAGCTTGACCACCGCATAACCGTTGCTGAAGTCCAGGTGCACAAATTCGTTGCCTACCCCAAGTTGGCCTCCCCATATCCAGAATTTTGCCGCGTCCGTCTTTGACTTGGTGAGGTATGCGTCTCCACCAGTGAAGTAGACGAAGCTGGGCTTGGTCTTGTGATATTTTTCATGAACCACAAATGACTGCAGATGGTACCAGGTGTTGTTGGAATCGCCAGCCTCGAGCGCAGAACTTCCGCCTGTCGGGAGAGCGGCTGCAGAAGTCTTCATAGTGAAGTATGACAGGACACTCAGAAGCGTGGCCATGAGGCCCGTGTCCAAGCCGAAATGAACCATGTTGTTGCTGAGTCTGCTGTTCGATCAAGTCCTGGGTGAGCTCTGTTCAAGGTCGACAGCAACCGGATAACAGAAGTAAAGATGTGCTAAACGAGTATAGGGTCGACGCTGAAAGAATGAGCGAAAAGAACGTGACGTTGTACGAACAAGAACATTAACGAGTATGATAAATGAGTGTGATGAAGGTTATTAAGTAGCCCAGCAGACGAACGTCGTCGCGCAACTCGACTTTGGATGGAGGCTGGAGATACTTAAGCAATGCATACCAGCCAGAAGAGCAATACCTCTGCAATCTCCATGAGGCTCGCTAGTCAAATTGCCTATCACGCACAACGCTGCGAAGATATCTGTTGACAGACCAAAGGCCCCAGCTCTAGTTCAGGAAGAGGCTGGAGGAAACTGGAGTAACTCGACCATTGGAGCAATAACGAACGCGACCTCGCGCCAGCTCACGCGACATCGTATTGGAAGAATCAAACGCGAGCTCGTTGAGGAAAATTCAAACGTGATTTCCATCCCTAAGAAGGTAAGGTAATTTCATGCGGTGGCTCTCGAAAGGCGGGGCACTGGATATACCACGACCCCAGAGTTGATATTGAGTAGAGTTTGTGGCGTCCCCCAGCCTTACGAGAATGTAGAGCAGGCAGCTTGGCACTGGTCTCTGTTCGGCACTCGGGCGGTCATTAGCACTGGCTAATGGATGAAATAGCCGTCTGGTCTCCTGTTCGGCAGTCGGGCGGTCATTAGCACTGGCTAATGGATGAAATAAGCCGTGGCAGCCACCGTATGGAATAGTTCCCTGTTTGCTCTTCAGAGCCTGTAATGCCATCAATGCATGAGTGAAAAGAAGGAGAAACTGCTTCACATACCAAGGCTCCATATTGAATGCGCGAGGGATTTAGACACAAGGACTTCCCAGCCTGCAATGTTCTCAGTACAGGCTGAGCCTGCATTCGCTCGAGAACCCAATTGCCGTCGGTGCTGAAGGGATCAAGGCCAAGAATCCCTGCCACCCCAGAAAGAAGATCGTCAGCGTTAACTTCTCTAGTGCGCTAAATGTGAAATAGCCGTCGATCCCGAGAGCGCCTCGCTCGCATTGGTCATTATGATAGGCGTACAATTAGCCTCATTGCCGATATCGGGTGCGCGCCTTGGGAAACCCTGGGTCGTTGTATCAATGCTCGTGTGATAAGATTCCCAATCCAGAGCTTGGAGGATATATCATATCACGGCCTGTTAGGGATTCAGACACAGGAAGAGCGGTAAGGCCATCCGAACTTGGCTTTCGCTTTGGGGAAGGGATCTGCACAGATCGACACAAAGTCATTACAACCTGGAAGTCAGACGCGGAACGAAAACTGCCTTTTACCTCAACGGCCTGTTTCCCCGTTCGCCGTACCACCACGAACGCATATGCTGTGTAACGTAGGGAGAATTTCTCGGTGACAACGAGCAACGCGCTCCATTTTCGGAGCATTGTTGACATACCTTCAACGTGCCGTCGCTATGAAGAGCGAAGATGTAGAGTGTCGTTTTTGCATAGAATTCAGAGAGGACCATGAGTTACCAGCGCTCGTTCCGGCGGCTGAGATCTTGTCTTTGTCTTCCCGTGAGGCTTTGCGCCGTCAGTGTCGACGCCCTCAGACTTCTCCGTTTGCGCCTTCTTACTCTCCACAGCCATCATTTCTCACCTTGGAGTCTAAGAGCCATGGATAGGAAGAACACCGATTGGCCCTGCTGGACTGCCCCCGGTGATCTTCGTGTCCATCACACGGAAAGTAGGCTTGCCGCTATAGTTTCAACCAGCGAACCTAAGAACCATAGGCTGGGAAAAGTTTCTCGGGAGGTCCGGCGGACTTCAATGTCGCTTTAGCCTCTCGCATGTTGGAGAACTGACGGTTAGTCATAAATCACGAGGGCTGTTAGTATATACCTAGCCTCTCAAGTCTGAATAGCAGGGACAGAACATGACTATTCGACGAGAAAGATGATCTTGACGAGGAGATCCTGCGAGCTGCTCCACGATAATAACTTAAGATCTTCTGGAGCCCTGAACTCACTTCCTCTAGGCTGGGCCTTAGCCGGAATAGCGGGAGTCAGGCCACCAGCGATCCCTTGGACAACTGGAGTCTAGCCACCAGCATTCCCTTGGACATCCTTGGGCTGGGAGGCGGCGTCCTTGAGCACTAGAGATCATTAGAGCCCTTCTCGCTTTCTGCGACGTCTTTTGTAAGAACCCTTGCTCTTCCATGCGACGCGTGCAGATGCGAACCATGATAGCAAGTGGTTCGAAGAAGGTATAGACTGATCTCGATGGCCAAGGGTAATCTGTATCGTGTCGTGCGTGGTGAGATCAACGACTTCACGATCTCGCTTGCACACTTCGTCTAAGGTTTTCGGGCTATGACCAAACCAATCGTTGATGTTGTCGACGTCCTGATCAATGGAAACGGTGCGCGAATTCGCACAAGTCTCGATGGCCCGAGATCTGAGATATGGATAGTAGCTCGATCGCCAGGCTATTGTAGATTGGAAACGATCCTGTGCCGTCATTGACGTGACTAAGAAGGCGGGAGTTTCAAAGAGCCGTAGTCTTAGGCGAAGTCTCCAACCACCAAAGTTCGGCCGTCAAACCAAGACGGGATACCAACTTCTTAGATGTCTTGAGAAAAGGTCCAGGAAGCAGGGTCGAGTATTCGACGATCTGGTTGGTCCTGGCCAGGCGAAGTCGTCCTCCTGTTTCCGTATCTACTCTTTCCTTCCCATTTTTCGCTCTTTTGATTAGCTTGAAGGGGATCTGGTTCGAGTCTCCTCTCCATTATCCTGCACATGCCGCCTGTAAAACCCTTTTGCCACTCTGGATCCGAAGCTCGCTCGAAATTCCGTCCCTGCTAGGTATGATCTCGACCTTATGTGCCGAGAGATCAGAATCGTAGGACTCGACTGAAGTTTTGTTGCCGCCCTCAATCTCGGGTCGGAGGTCCGCGCCATTTCCACAGAGAGGCCGAAGACTGACTAGGAGACAAGAATACCTCAATATTCTCAGACCTAGTCTTATCATCCGGTCTCCAAGGCCAAGCACGGAACTTGACAGCCTGGACAACTCTGCCTGTGTAGGTGGATGCTGTCACTATCCAGAGCGCAAGACGAGGCGCAGAAGGAGATATAGGGACGACAGGTGTGGGCACAGCCGCTTAGGCACTAAAAGAGGTCAGTATTCATCTCGATAAACAGAGAATTGATGGCAACGTCGGTGACTCGTCTGCAATCAGCGGACAGAGGCTCGACGTCTCACTCGTGACAACTTTATAAAAGCTTTACACAGGGTCATTTTTTGCAGTGGATAAGTCGTTGCTTCGAGAGTGGATTGTTGAGCAGTCATGTGAAAGTTACAACAGCGAAGAGAGGGAGGTGACAAGATCAGAGACTGCAGGTAGAAACACAGGCGGTGAAAGCAGTGAGGTCGCCCATTTGAGCACGGGAACGTTCGCTGGTAGATGGGTCTAAGGCATGGAGCTAGGAGCACCGAAGAAGAGCTCATTTCGGACAAGAACAGCGCCTTTCCCCATCCATGTTCAAGCAAACAGAGGATGTTATCGTGGTCAAGAGGATGATTCGACAACCTGTGGCACCTGACGACCAGCACCGGAGGTATGTTTTGAACAGAGCACCATCCAGAGAGTGACCACGCCACCGCAGGTAGACCAGGAGATCTGGTGTATGTGGCTGCGTACGAAGCATATGGTGAAGCTCAGCGCCAGAGCGGCTCTCTGGACGACCATTGCGGTCGATTCATCAAATTGAAAGGTGCGACCAAGGGCAACTGATAACTCGCTGGGCTGGGGACGCAGGCATGCGTCTTCGCGTCATCAGGTACGGTCGTAGGGCTGGTATCTGAATCTCGATACCTAAGTCGAGGGTCCAATGCGAGTGGCCTCAGAGGCTGTATCGCATTGCACAGGTTGAGCACATCTGGTTGGGGTGGTTGTTTGACTGGCGCAGGCACATCAGGCGCAGGCAGATCCAGGCAAACATGGAGATGCCCAGCTTTGTAGCACGTGATGTCGCGGGTGGCCCAATTGCAGCTCCGCTTCGAGCACGTCTACTGCTCGCTCCTCAGTTACTAAGTGACCCATATTTTGTATTTATCCTCAATTGCACTGTGTTTTATTGTCATGTTCCATAATACCTAGGTATATAATCTCTTTTTCAACCGATTCTCTCGCTCTACACCCACCATAAAGCGTCATTCTGCCACTCTCATCACGGAACAGAACTCTTCCAATCGTTAACGTTGGGCTGATCTCCACCCGAGTCTCTGTGGGGGTGTGATGGGTCCCAAGAAAGAGAAGAGCAGTTTGAAGAGGAATCGCGTGAGAATGTAACGTTCTGTGTTGTCGCCATTGGATCTGACGATCAAACAGCATAGCACTGGCGAGGACCAGGAGATTAAGAAACCGCGGAGGTCCCAGAGGATTTCCTCGCAGTCTCAAAAGGATCCTCTGCACACGCCGCTCAAGAACCAATATCTACCTTCTCCTCTGACGAACCATGAGTCGACCGCTACTGAAACATTCAAAGAACACACGGCCACCCCTCCAGAAGGTCGCCCCAGCCAGATTCGCCATGTCACGCCTGTAGCCTCGCCGCCACTTCTCCCACAATCCTCACCGCCTCAAGACACCCAGCCTCTATCCCAATTCGTCTACCCTCCCCGAGACATCGAGCCTGACTTGAACGATGAGGAGGGGACATGGGGTTACCTATTCCCAATGACCGAGAACGGTCATAGACTGCAGCTGAAACGACGAGCATTTTGTCCCGCTCCGGCTAAGCCGCTCGAGGTCTCGAGGCATACCGTGAAGAGTAAAAAGCGGGGGAAGAAGGAATTGGCTGAAGCTGAGATTGAGTATGAACATGAAAAAATGGGCAAAGGGTTTCCAGCGAGCGGATACCTGATCGGGCGACATCCGGAATGTGACATGATCCTTGACATTCCAACCGTGTCGAACCGCCATTGCCTGATCTTCAAAGAAAACAGAAACGGCGATGCGGTCGCTATTCTCGAGGACTTGTCCAGCAACGGCACCTTTGTCAACGAGGCAATCCTGGGCCGGAACAAGCGAAGGCAGCTGGAAGATGGGGACGAGATTACCATCTTGGATGAGGCCCGCTTTGTCTTTCGCTATCCAAGAAGTCGAGACTCGAGTGCGTTCAACTCACGTTACCGGATTCTCCAACAGTTGGGAAAGGGCCATTTTGCCACTGTGTACCTCTGTGTGGAAAGATCAACGGGTTTTAAGTTCGCCGTCAAGAAGTTCGACCGTCGCATGGGAGAGTCTCAGCGATCACAGACAGAAGGGTTAGAACAAGAAATCGCCGTGTTGATGAGTGTCAGCCATCCCAACGTCCTTTGCTTGAAGGAGACGTACGATGAACCCGACGGAGTTTATCTGGTCCTAGAGCTTGCCGCCGAAGGCGAATTGTTCAACTTGATTGTGACGAAACAGAAGTTGTCAGAGGCCGAGACCAGGAAAATCTTCATCCAGTTGTTTCAGGGGACTAAGTATCTGCATGAACGGAACATTGTTCATCGTGACATCAAACCAGAGAACATTTTACTGACCGACAAGAATTTATCGGTCAAGTTGGCAGATTTCGGCCTGGCTAAGATCATTGGCGAGGAGTCCTTCACAACTACGTTATGCGGTACACCCAGTTGTGAGTGCTGACGTCGTCTTCTCGAAGCCTTCTGCTAACTGTGCGCAGATGTTGCACCCGAAATTCTGGAGAACACACGCCATCGAAGATATACCAAGGCAGTTGATGTTTGGTCCCTAGGTGTCGTCCTGTACATTTGTCTCTGCGGGTTCCCACCATTTTCCGACGAGCTCTACTCACGAGAGAATCCATACACCCTCGCTCAACAGATCAAAATGGGCCGGTTTGACTATCCGTCACCATATTGGGACTCGATTGGCGACCCTGCACTCGACCTCATCGACCGCATGCTTACAGTCGACGTGGAGAAGCGAATTACGATCGATCAATGCCTAGAACATCCCTGGACAAGGAACTTGGGCTACATCAACCCTGCTGATTCGCTCGACGGCCTCACGGGGCAAATGAGTGCGTTTGACTTCTCCAAACGGAAAGTCCAAAGGGAACGCACTTTGTTAGCCAACATTAATGACGTCAAAGTGAGCAAAATGGTCGACCTCAATGGAGGCCAGCAGATCCAAGGCCAGCCAACCCATATTCCTGGTTCACCGGCGCACGTCAAGGTGTGGGACAAGAACCCTAGTGGAAAGAACATTAGGATGAGCCCACCCAAGGACAACAAGGGAAAGAAGCAAAGTGGGGGCGGCGGAGCTGTCGACAAGAACGAAGAGGATCACAAGGTGGAGGAACATCCTGCGGCTAACAGACAGCAGGAGGAATTCATGCAAATGGGCGGCAAAGGCGACATGCGTTTGTTCGGGGATGACGCTTCTTCCAGGTATTTGCCGGAAGAGGTGCCCAAGGGCAAGAAAAAGTGAACAGTGAGCGCTGGGATGATCATGTGTTGACGACCTTGCCGCGTTTTGCAAATGGGAATGAGGTTGTTGTTATTGTTTGCAATCGTTGCACTTGGAGTCGGATTGGATGATATTCGACCTTGTTGGTGTGATATTGTCCAGACCCAGCCTGGACTTTGCTGGAACAACACCGGCGAAGGACCGCTGAACGATGGGAAGAGACGACATGAGGATCGAGCACGAGGCGAAGCTAAGCCAAGCCGACGCGAAATGAAACAACCAACGCTGCACATACATATTGGAAAAACCGACTTTGTAATCGTCCTGGATACGAGCGCCGACACGACCTGGATGCGTCCATGGGGCGGGACATTGTGCATATTTGTACATGTACATATTTCCGGCCTGCCTGGGTGGGTGGCTTTATGGATACAGTCTTGCGGCTTGGCTTGTGAATGTGTTGCTGGCGCCTGGCAGGGCATGGGTTATGGATAAATACCGTCTGCATGTGTATATCTTCCAAGAGGTGGAAAAGTACTTTTTGATCGCGCGAATCGGATACTGCGTATTGGGTACCACGTACCAGGTAGTGGTGAGAATAGCTGTGCAATAGGAATGTATGAATTAATTGGTATCGTCTAGGAGTATCGAGTGTCGAGTGTCTACTCTTGACTCTTGAGTTTATTCGGTCCACTGTTGAGCTTCAGAGCTCGGAAAGGCGTGCTATATACGGGCTTTGCATAATCGACCAGTGTGACTTTTGTCTTTCCTGTGAAATACGCCTTGTTGGCCTGTGCGCCATGTTGATGTGGACGTGGATATAGATGGACGTGGATATAGATGGACGTGGATATAGATGGACGTGGATATA